AATATATTATACTGATGCCCTCTATATCATCTCATAGATTTTCCACTAGCTTAGAATCGTCCGGATCTAAATGAAAGAAAATATGGTGGCAGTTCTAGACCTAAAATCATAAAAAATATGACTGAAAGCACAACTTACTTCCATATTTTTTAGAATCGTGTATTTTTTAACCTTGGCTATTGATTAGAGGGAAAAATGCCTTCCATTATATTTGTAATTCTTTTTATAATAATAAATCTCAATTGCTGGAGAGACGGTGCTATTATGCCTTTTTTGCTTCAGTTCGAAAAAACTTTAGAACGGGGAAGCTTAAACCTCCAAACATTTATGGGGAAAATTATGTTCTTGTATGTTAAAAAGAGGATTCGTCCAGCATACTTAATCCTGTTTAGAACTAGTTATGATGTGAATGTTGTCGCTTTATATTCACCGCTAGAGGCGCTGCTGTAGAATCTCTAGAAATGTCGAATGTTAATGAGAGTTCAGTGTTTACGCGCTTTTTTATTAGTGGACCTTAATTGATATTAAGAAATGTTTTTCTTGGCCAATAAATTTGTAAGAGCTAAGGAAAACAATGTATTGAATACACGGTACAGTAATTTGCTAATACAATGTATATATTTGTGGGAAAATATAATTCATTGTAGAGCGAGAGCTGTATAGAAATTCGCTTACCACAGGCGCCATCTGGTAATAACGAAAATGATGACTGTTCACATTATGAATATATTTTAAATATGGATTACATCATTAGCATATTTGCTCTGAAGAGGTGGAGTACGCTGGACTGATTTTCAATCTAACGTATTAATTGTATTTTGGCCTTTATTTCGTAAGCAATAATAAATATTTTTATTCCACTTCGGGTTATCTTTTTAGTTCTATTTGGTATACGTTAGATATCGGTATTACAATATGATTACCACACGGGACACGACATTGGCACATTTTTTTCATATGTAAATATCATCCTAGAGTACGCGTGGATGATTGTTCCATTACCTGTAGAATAATGATTCTATAATGCCTTATCAGTGTGTTGCCCCCACTCCTGGGGTAAGACGGAGTTGTTACCAACTGTGGCCGGGCGGCAGACTCCGTCCACACCATACAAGGAGCATCTTATGTCAATTTTAATGGTTAATAAGCTAAAAAAAGACACAGACAGGACTCTGCCGCCTGGCATTCGCTAAGACTGAAGGAAATGATTGAGGAATGTGGTATAAATGTAACATTGGTTTATATAAAACATGAAGAGCCTAAAAACTGTTTGTAATATGTATACAACGCGTAACGACGTGGCATGCATGTTGCGTCGTGTCAGCTTCGAATTATTATGATTTGTGAATAATGTGTCTGGCTTTACGGCTGGTCGGTGCCAAATTCAACGGCATTTGTTTACTACTTGTATTTGTTAAACGACGCCCAACACCTTTGTCGATGAATATTTTTTTCAATAAAAAAATGATAAAAAAATGTGTTTCGAACACAACACTAGCGTGTTTTATTTTAGTAATCCCTTTTTTGAGAAGAACTCTGTTCCAATTTATTTTTCTGTTATGAAACAGTATTGACCTATAATGATAGATAATAAACATTTTATCATATGCTGAGAAATAAATAATAATATTGTATCTGCATTTCCCTAATTTAACATCTGTTTTTGAAGTAAAATGGAACTCCAAATTTTGCCTCGTTCTCAATAAATTCTTTTGTAATAGTAGGGAAGCCCAAGCGGGGATTTCGGGATTTACTAAAGCGCGGCAGATTAATATACAGGGGGATACCTTGTATCTGGACCAAGTATGAGCCCTATAAAAATGGCCGCCCGGCAAGGACGAAGGATCAGATTAGTAAAAAAAAATTGATCATCTGAAAATCTCGAGCGCGTCAGATTAAGGTAAGGTGAGCTAGTTACATGCTAAAATGTGTACATACCTCTAATCTGACAATTTGAGACTGACGTAAATAAGGGGGAAGGCTACAAAGTTGTAAAAAAAACGTCACTGACATTCTCCAGCGTGGCAATTTTTTTTTTATTTTGAAGGGAATCATTGATAAGATTTAATGCGTTTAAGCTACGTGATACCTATATTTCCTTCTCCGCATCACTATTTCTCTCTCTTTTTCTATCTATTACTCTCTCACTCCGTCCCCACTCTGGTTTCGGTTGCCATGACGCCATGACAGCTGATGACACAGACTCATTCGTGGCGTGATATTGTTTACATCATATTTCCAACGTTTTTGCTTATTTTGCTATTTTAATGTAAATTTTGTGAATTAAACTTTTTACATATTTACTAAGAGAAGAAGAGGAAGATGATTCTAGCGATGAAGATGATAATTAATAAAAAATACTGTAAAAATTAAATTTTCATATAATCATTTTCTTATAAATATAAGTATTTTACATAAAAAAAACATACACTTTTTTATTTGCATGCTAACTCCGGTGCTTTTCTATTTAATTAAGCTCAATGATTTGAAAAAATAAAAAAAAATTTTTGAGTGTCAGTTTAAGTAAATCCCTTCAGATAATCGTCAGATTATGAGATATCATGTCTGGGGCATAAAGATGAATCATATATATCTTAATCTGACGCGCTTGAGTATTTCAAAATGGCGATTTTTTTTTTGCACATTCTAATAACGATCACGCGTTTGCGTCACATCCAAATCGTCAGATTATTATATGAGAGCTTTTTTTAGGTTCACTTGACATCCCCTCAAAAAATCTGACGCGTTCGATTAATTTTTTTTTTTTCATTTTCATCCCTTACGTATAACCACCCCCATCATGGAAACGATCAGATTAACATACGACAGTTTTTAAAAATGCGTAGGACATGGATGATATTAATATCTGACGCGCTCGAGTATGTCCATACAACAGTTTTTTTTTACATATTTAAAAATCTATAGCCGCTTCCCCCACCGATGAAAAGGTATATATTATATGACATTATTTTTTTGTTATCATCTAAGCTTCGCAACCCAATAGGTCTCTATGACACTCGAGTAAATCCCGATTTAGCATCGTGGGCTCCCCTACTATAAGATATCAACAGCAGAGATCTCCAAAGTTGTCGTTATTAAGCATGTATCGATGCAATAAAATACCGATGCGGATAGCGAAGTCAAGAGAGTTCCAAAGGTATTCTAAAAATCACGTCATAACCATTGGTATTAAATTAACAAAATTATTACACATTCACTCGATATCGACACCGTGGTCGATATAAAATAAATCTAATTTTCGGGTCTGCAAATACAGATTTGTTATAAGAATTACATATTTTCGTTGGAAAGTATGTAAATTTTTTTATGTAATTAGTATTAAATTTGTAATAATTACCCTTTTACTTTTTAAATATTTGACGAGAAAATAATGAGGTGTTCACTGACTAACTTGCAATTAGCAAGTATTATGTATCAATAGGAAAAGTATTTTAATGTAAATATAAGTGGACAGAAGTATCAGTTGGTTTTGGAAAAGGAGTTCCCAAAATAATTTTGGGGAATCCCGGGTTTCCAGTATATTACCCGCTATTTCAGTGAATACCTCTATAGTATAAGGCTGAGAACTCTTGACAAATTAAAGACATGTTTGTACATCATCAATAATTTATTTATAAAATAAATATTTACATCGACGGTTAGTGAATAAATTCAAGAAACTTATCTACACATTTATTATCAGAGGTCGGAATTAGGTAGTTATTTATGTACTTGCATCGAAATGTTGATATAAATGTGGACCTTCGTGGCAACATCGCGCCTATTGGTATTTTGCAACTTTGGACATCCGATGTCATTGATGTAAGTTTGGCAACGTCGTGCGTGCAGTAGTTTAAATTGTGTAAAAGTAAATAACATTTTATTTAAAAAATCACGGGATTTTTTCTGCTCTTTAAAATTAATCTCGGGATTTGAGGCATATCCACTTTATTCTTTCGCTGTATGAAATCAGTGTAAGTACATGAATAACTCTACCTAATTCCGACCACTGTTTATTATATATGATATAAAGGAAATATTTCTAAAGGAACATTTTATTGGTTTATTTTACTGGAGTTCATATATCAGTTTACCACGAAATGTAGTTTCTGCAATCTATTTTGAACGCTACGCTCAATACATTAAGGTTTAAACAATTTTATATAACGTAAAATAATTCTTTGAAATATAGATAAAAAAAATTAATACTTATACAGGAATGATTAAATAATGCTTAATATTTTTTCTTGTTAATTAAATAAATTTATATACAAACAGACTTGCAACAAATAGTATATCCAGCCATATGCCGAATACCGAATATTCGGCGAGCTTCCTGGCCTAATAACCGAATATTCGGCATCAGTATTCGGCCGGTATGTGTCGCCAAAACTTGTATCAAAAGGAAAAAATGCACTTGCGATAGAAACCGATCTTTTTAAGTATTAATGACATCACGGCATGACAATCCAATTCGTAAACTAACTCGTTCTCGCGAGATTGACCTAGGTCGAAAAATGGGTGAGATCTAGCGAGTTAAACAAGCTGCACTCGAGCGTAAAATTGTTTTCAAAGGGGTCTTCTCAGTAGCTGATTGTCTGGCGAATAACAAAGATTCTTTAGATATTTTGCTTCTTAAGAAGCTACTTTCAAAATTATTCGAAATAAGGACATGTGAAGTGAACTGAATAAGCCTTTAAATTGATTGATATATTTTGTTAATTTATTCTCTAATTTCTAAAAGATCTCTGGGTACGTTTGTTTGTGAAACTACTGGATTCATTTTTAAAATTCTTTCACCTACTGAAATCTAAACACCAAAAATAATAATTATAGTTTTTGACTTCTGTCTCAAAAGGATGCAGGCCCCTCGTCTAGTCTTTGCCAATTGTATTGCATCCATGCCGTTCCAGGTACAGGAACATAAAAATACACAATTCAGTGACGTAACTATACTGCTAAAGGCTACATTTTACTGAATGTAATAATAAATATTTAGTAATCTCACGGCCTTTTGAACTGAGGCTCCTTTGGCTTGGAGAGAAAGGCGGTTTGGTTAGTCAGTTTTTATAACCTGTAGATACAGCACTGTACAAATCTGTTTTCATATAGCCTCATTATCACACATTCTTAATATGCCTTGTGTGTGTTCTGTGTACACCTTGCATAGCCGATTTGACTTCATCGAGAAAAGACGTGGAATTGTGAATGGTGGTGCCTCCCAACACAACATTTACTCCGGGGTAAGCTTGGTTGATTTGATGTACACAGTACGCTTCCTCATAAGTAGCCCCTCCTACTATGAACACTATAATATTCTGTGGACGCCTTCCGTAGCCGTCATCGCCACCTAAAGTAGGGTAGAGATTTTCCCTTAGTTTGCCTTTGATCAGATCTTCGAGTGTATCCTTAAGAAGTGGGGTATGTTGAGTATAAATGTTTTCGACGCCGTTCAAACCCTGAAATATTATATTATGTATTAGGACATGTACACTCCGCTATCACAATTTCCGACCGACAAATTAATTATAACATTATTAACAAATATTATAAATGATTTAACAAAATAAAAGTTTCATATTTTAATATGTCGACATCTAGCGAAGTGGTCAAAAACAGAAATTATATAAAAATACAAACTAGATCGCGTCAGACACCTGAGATTTCTGGATTCGAACCAGAAACTGCTGCATCACCATTTTAAGTTAAATAATAGATTACATGTAACCAATGAACGACACTACTTACCTTGAAAAGTCTCTTAGTGATTTTAGCAGCGTCCTGCAAACCGAACAGATCACTCTGTCTGGCATGAGCCCCACCGTACTCCAGTACATTCACGACCGCCTTCATCAAGTGTTCCGGACAGTTCCTCCCCTTTAGGGCATCCATCAGAGATGTGAGGGCGTTACTCGCGTGTTTCTCGTACCGGAGGGCGTATAGAGCTACCAGTTTCGCCGCGTCGTGATCACTCACAGACTCGTTCGATAGGAGACCTTTGAGACGCTGTGGACAAACGATAGAAATTTGGCTGATTTGTATAAATCACAGTTTCTGTGCTTGATAACCAGTTTTCCTAAACTACGTAGTGTACCAATCTAGTGCACGTAGTTTAGTGTTCTAAAGCCCAAAGAATGCAGTATTCTTGAGCACAAAGAGTGGTTTCCTAGCGAAAAAAGAATACGGTGCCCTAGCGCACAAAGAATGTAATGTCTTAGCGCACAGTGTGGTGTCCTAAGGCACAAAAAATGTAGTGTCTTAGCGTTTAATTTGGTGTACTAGTGTACAAACAATGTAGTGTGCTAGTGCACCGCATTCTATCTAGTGCACATATGGTCAATTGCACAAACGTCTAATAATGTTCATTGACGATTAAGCTCCAATGAATATTCTAAATTTGTATGGGTAATGTGGCATTAAAATAATGTCAATTTTAATGTATTTACGTGTGCAACTGGCTGATTGTGTAATATATGTATGTATGTATTTATGTGATATACCTGCAGATGTCTGGCATGGTCCGCGTGGCAGGCGAGTTCCTGCTCCAGCTCGGACACGTCCAGTAACGACCGTCGCGCTACAGCCGCTGACAACTCACCCACCACTGTCACGTGTTTAGTCACTGTACCAGACATTTTCTGGAAAAACCAAATAACACTAATAAATATCATAGGGTTATTCTACTCTTTAAAAAGACCATAAAACAAACGTTTCGGAAAAATAAATACCTTTAACTTGATAAAAAAAATATTAGTCATATCTTCTATAAAGAAAAATATTTTGTTAAATAACAAGCAATAGCATAGTTGCAGTCGACGCAGAGTTTAATTAAACGTTAATGGAGTCTAAGCTCTAATGAATGTCAAATGTGTATCGGTAAAGTAAGGAAAAGTCGCTCTAAATTTATGGATCGATTACGAAATAAAAAGATACTAGCTTTCCGCCAGCGGCTTTGCCCGCGTGGTCTTGTATTATACATTCATCGATTGGTCCTGTATTGTACATAGAAACCTTCCTTTTAAATCACCTTATCTATTAAAAAAACCGCATCTAAATCCGTTGCGTTGTTTTAAAGATTTAAGTATAAATAGGGACAGAGAAAGCAACTATGATTTTCACTACATACTCGTAATATAAAATACTATGCAGTGAAGATAAACCAAGAACAGCGCCCTCTAGGAATTTGATTTATAATTATTAAGCATATCTTTATGACTAATCTGACAGTTGTCGCCATAGTGACGTCATAGCGGGTCGTGTTTCAAGTCTCGTGACACGCAGATGATAAATCACGACTTTTAATTATAAGATAATAATTTTAAGACTAGTTTTTGTGCAATTTCGTGACTTATTTTCACTTGGCTAACCAATCATTAATGATACTCGCGTGGAACAGACATGTAAAAAATAATATAAAGTCAAATTAATAATGTCCTTCTATTTTTTAAGTCAGTCGAAACAGATCGAATGGGAAGTACATCTGCGTTTAATATAAAAAGAAGTCTAATGGAAACTAATGGAAAACTCGTACACTACAGAAACCCAAATACCTTGAAAAGCGGGTAAGTCTCAACGAAATTCTTCATATCGGCAATGCTCTCCACCTTCTGATGACTCTTGGCCTTGCGTTGGAATTCTTCCATTAGTGACTTCATCGTCTGCCCGATCTCACCGAAATTGGAATACAGATTCTATAATAAACAACAGAACATTTGTTAATCATTTTCCCCAGTGAAATCTTAACATATAAAAATTGAAAATCGCTTGTAGAAAGTTTGACACATTAATCACGATTTTATAGATAAACAGCCAGTTGCACATACATACATTATAATTGTCATTAGTTTAAAGCGACATTACCCATACGAATTTGACATTCATTAGAGCTTACAGGCGTCATTAAATCTTAATGGACGTTTGTGCAACTGACCGATAGTTTTATTATCAATGAAGAAAGATCTGAAATTAACTACGCGTTAACTAGTCATTAAATATTACAAACTTAATACAATAGGGATGACAACTAATTGTTTAAAAATATTAAACAAGTAATTTTTTTGTTTATTTTCGTATTAATTAAATTAAGGCGATACATTGTTTGTAGGCGATGATTATTTACAGGAGTAAACAGCTATTTGGATATTGATTCATGCACAGCCAGTTGCACAAACGTCCATTAAAATTGACATTAGTTTAAAGAGACATAACCATACAATTTTGACATTCATTAAAGATTAAAGACGTGTTTAAACCTAAGTGAACGTTTGTGCAACTGACCGATAGTGGCACAGATATGATTATAACGACTGAATAGTAAACAAAAGTCACCATGATAATATTTTATTTTTCCTATAAAAACTTCCACTCCCATTTTAAACCCTTTATTTGCAGTTTTCGGGATAAAATATAGCTTATGTCCAGCGCATATGATGTAACTACCCGTAGGTGAACGGATTTTTAAAATCGTTCCAGTAGTTTCGGAGCCTATTTGTTACAAACAAACAATCAAATCTTTCCTCTATATAATATTAAGTACAGCAGAAGCTACTTATTCGCGGTGGATTCATTCCTTAAATATACCGCGAATTCAGAAAACATGAGTATGGGATGGGATAGCATGTAGTATAGAACTATAGAGGATACATTCCAAGGTTCCAAAATAATAGCAATATGTATTATAATATTTGAAAAATGCTTAGAAATACAGTTTGTCCCTGGGTAGCTCAGTGGTTAGAGCTGCCAAATCGCCCGGATTGCGAAAGGTCATGAGTTCTCAGAGTGCCAGGGCCAAAGTTGATTTTTGAAGCGTTTTCCATTAAGAATATTTTCCAACAATATTTTCCAGCAATGTGTATATTAAAATAATTGCAGATGAAGTAAGATTATTGAGGAACTACTAATTTAAATCGATTTTTATTGTCAGCTTTAAATTAGGTTTTTTAAAGATATAATTTATTTTCCTTTTTTGCATTTTTGAACTTCTTTAAATTTAGATTCATAACTAAGTAGCTGTAGCATTCACAATACAGCTTCTTTAAAGTATTTTATGAATGCTATAAAAAAGAAAAAAAATTAAAGGCGTTATAAAAGTCACCTTGACACATGCCCGAAGTATGTAAAACACGACGATGCGTTAATAAACGACGATGAAAACGATTGCATGCGGGGATAAACAGATTTTAACCTCGGGTGCAACTATTCGGTTATAATTTTTTTATTTGAAATTGAGTTACAAATTGGTCATTGGAACTCACTACCGGATGCTGTAAGAAAGGCTCGCAGTCTAATATAATTTGTGTTAGATGTGAAGAACCATTTTCTGTCCCTACATGTTGTATAAAGTTTGTATTATTTAAAATTTATCAATTTTTCTCTCATTATTATTATATATAATTTCTCTTTCTGTAGATGTATCTGTTTCATATGCTATCGTTATTGCATCCACTCCCCCCCCCCCCCTCCCATTACGTCTTATTTATTTTTTTTCTACCATTGGTTGCCTGCAGAAATTTGTGTACTGTTTTCAATAGTTTTTGTAATGTGTCCTGTTTAAGTAGTGCAATAAAGATTGTTATTATTATTAAGTTTTTCACTCGCAAATAAGGAGCTTCTAATGTACAGAAGTATAGGCACCTTAGCATAGAACTCGTCCTGGTCCGAAGAGAGTACGACCTCTCTGAAGTCCTTGTGCACGTCGGGCAGGTGCGCCAAGCTCACGCGGTTGTTACTGATGCCGAGCAACTCGTGCACCATGGCCTGGTACGTCCACTGTACACAACGTATACGTTGGAAGTTCACAAAGGGGCCGTCCATTAAGCACGTGATGTTTTTTTCAACATTTTTTAACCCCCCCTCACCCTTGGTGATACATGGTGAGGTTTAAGACTACCCCTCCCACCTTCAAACAAATCACGTGTATTAAAAAAAAAACAAAATCTTAATTTTTGACGTCGCTTTTCGGCTTAGTAATCGCGCGTCGAGGAAAAGATAAATACACGTGATATATTACTACCCCCCCCCCCCATCCCGATTGTGATATTTCGTGATTTTTTACGAATCCCTCGCCCCCCTTTCGAGCCTCGCGTGATTAATGAACGGCCCCAAAAATGTTGCTCAAATTTAAATATAACGGGAAAGGCAACTGACAAAATTGAGCTGCTGTAGTTTCATCCCAATAGATATAAACATGAGTAAAGATAACAAATAACTCTCTCGAGTCTCAGTCGGTAAATCAGTTGCTTCAACGCCACCTCGCAGTTTTAAGAAGTAGGTAATGAGATTTAAGTCAACGAAACACTTGTTAAGCAACTTTCGCGGTGGCCGGTCACAGGACGGGTGACCAAAAATTTATTATCTCGAGCTACTCCGTGCTTCGGAAGGCACGTTAAGCCATTGGTCTGCAGTCGTGAACATCCAATAATGCACACTGGGCCCACTGGTAAGTCCAGGATCCAATCTCCCTGTTCGATTCCATCCATACGGATGGGCCTGAACCCCAGCAGTGGGGACATAAATAGACTGGTGATGGAAATACTTATTTCTTTTAATTCTTTGCGCAATCAACAGATAACGGCTTTACGTTAAGTTAAAATGTCGCATTATCAAGACATTTCTTATTAACTTCATCCCTATTGTTTGAAAATAAACAAGGAATTCTATACCACCAATTAGAGATATCAAGCATACTCACTGTTTTATAGGATCTAACATGACAATCGAAAAACGCAAAATCAAATTGATTTTGTAGTTACCTGATTAAGCAAAGGTGTGACTGGGTCATCTCTCCTATCAATTATCAGAAGCTGTGGCATTGGCATATCACCATTAAACGGTATATTGTTATCTATGAGGACCGCCTCCCTCCTCAGCAGATCTCGCACACGTTCAGCGAGACGAGCGCAAGGTTCCGACGCGGCCTCGTATCGGACCACGGCACGACGCTTCAACGACAGCAGTAATGCTAGGAGACCTTGAGAACATCTCTGCAGATGCTGCTGGGACCACATGCGACCTGGCAACACAATACAGTAAGATACAACTGATGGACTAATTGATGTACAGTCAACAAAATTTCTGCCTACCCCGTTTATGAAAAATGTTGCTTGCACAAGTTGACCACAGCATGCCCCGCCCTTTTTTTTCTTAACCAATGAGCAAATGGATCCCTTAATATTTTTCATTGTAATCAGATGGACCATCTGTTTTTACTAATGTCTATTGTCTACGTTTTTTATGACTTTTACGAGGTTTGTTTGTAAAACTATCAATCTGTTAGTTTAGTTTCAAGAGAACATTTCTTTGCTTCAAAAATATGCATCATGGTATAAGCTGTTACCAGAGTAACTGTTACACCGTGCAAAAACAATAGGGATGATGACTGGGTAAAAAAAATGCAATTCTATTTAGTCCGTCAGTCAGATAATAGAAACACATTGGATACGTATTTTTCTTTTACTCCAATTTAACAAGAAATAGCTTAGATTACAGGCATTAAAGTTGAGGAGTAGGGGCTCGCTACGTCACAGTTTTGTAGAAAACGTACTCTAACGTGACGTCATGCGAAATTTGAACTCAATGTAACGCCGTAATTTTATTATTACGAAAAAAATACATGTTTCATATTTTTTAACACTCTACCTGACGGACAAACAAACAAAAATTAGTCATCATCCCTATTGTTTCGGGTATTCGTAAGAAAAAATACCCGAACTTGTAACGGGCGACCAGATGTTTTCTTGGTTATCTGGCTTTTGTCGATGTTTATTGAATAACGATGGTAAAAACATATTACGATCTGAGTTTGTCTTTCTTTTAAAATGTAAATTATGAAACATTGTTATCATAATAATACCTATGACTTTTTACGCTTGCGTTCGTTAAATAAAATCTGCTAGAATAAAATTATTTCTATATAATAAAATTATTAAGTTTCATACTAATTTAACTGTTATTTAACAGGTCAAGTCTTCCCATGTAAACACAGCTGTCCATTTTGTAAGCAAATTGTTTCCTACTTAACAAAAAAACAAAACACGTGGTTGCTTTACCCTATATTGCATGGTGTAAGAGAATCACCGAACACTTTCTCTTCGGTCTTTGGTTATTGACCGGTTAAAAAGAAATAATCAAAACCTTTTCAATCGACTTGCAGAAGGGTTAAAATCGTAATTTAACTAGTCACTCCCGCGACAGTGCGAATTTTTTATTTTTTTAATTACATAATTCGATTATTAAATCGTGCATGCTATGATTATGTAAAAGATTGCATGACTTTTACAGTGATTTTCTAGTTTTTTTATCAATATTTACATATATTTAAAAAATTAATCTTTTCGTAGCATCGTGCTGTCCTTCGTAAATTTCGTCATTATAAATATTTTGAATTGAGCAGTGTGTGTTTAAATATAATAGTTAATATATCTTGCTAATAAAAAACTTACTTTGTTTTAAAAAAATATCAGTCAATGAATTTTGTATAATTTAATTATTACTGAATATATTTCGAGTAATTTTAATGCATTCTTAATATTGCAAAAATCAGATTCAAAATAATGAATAAGATTTGCTTAGAATACTTTAATTATTTTATTAGTCAAATATTTTAATAGTTAGTTAATCGAATACCTACTTATTTTTCTTCATACCGTAACTTTATATTTGAAATTCATTGTATATTACACCCATTAGCAATACACATAATTTAATTGTATTATTTATTTTTACTTGGCAATTTCAATTTTTGAGGTCCACAAGGCAAATTCGGAACACCGAGACGTTCATAAACCCTGTTCATTTTTTGTCATTGTATTGTATTTCACGACAACCCAGCCCAAAGAAGACGCTATTGGCCATTGCAAGCAGGCTAGCCATGGGTGGTATTTTACAGATGCAAGCAAATATCGCCTAAGACGGGGTAGGCAGAAATTTTGTTGACTGTACCTGCGCAAAAGAATTTTCGAAGCACGACAAATGTCGAACAATCAGTAAGAGGCGTGCCATAGTGATCCATGCACTAGACCCATGTTGAGAGTGAATGAAACAGAAATGCTTATAAAGAATATTGTGTCTTTCACTTTAGCATACTAGAAATATCACTGACGGATTGACTTGTACTTACCATGTAAGCAACCTGTTATATTGAATGAAAAGAGATGTCGATCAACTGCAAGATAGTCGGCAAAAACTTCCTGGACCTCCCTAACAGCTTCCTGTTCATCACACTCTGCTAATGTTTTAACATCAGACTTTGATATCACATTGCTGAAATCTAAAACATTGACTTGCACTTAACAATTTTAGAAACTTCAAAGGTAACTAATAATACAAACTTAGTGCATTTTTTAATTAATAAAATATAGCCTATAAAACTTACTGTAATTTATCTATCTATCAGAGAAGGAATTTTTTAATTCAGTCCTACTGTACTATTTAAGTTTATCATATCTGCCCTCTTTACAATACAGTACAATTCCAATCCTAGTAACAACAGTCTCTAAAGCCTATGAAGATCCTAAGAAGTTTATGCACTTCTGGTTGCAATTAGGTTGGCTGGAGTAAAACAGCTAACCAACAAACTTTTCACATATAAAAGATCAAATCAAAATTATCGTCCTAACAATTGACGATATTGATTATCCTAACATGGCCATACTGTTATCTGTAATGGCATTATCTAAAAGCATAGAGTGATGACAACAGAAACTAAGTAATTTTGTTGAACCTGGTATATAATAAGGACTAGTAATGTACATCTGGAAATATTGCCACTGCTAACAATTCAAATAAAATTATTAATAAATATACAAAAACATAAATCCAATACACCCAGTAAATTTTTTATTTTACTTTGTTTTTGTACCATTCAAATACAATTGTAAAAAATTGTTAATGAATTATAATAATAATAATAATTCCCACTTGGGGATTGATTAGCAACATTTCCAGTCCGTGACAATCTACCTGGACATGGTACATCACTAAGATGACAGGATGTCAAGCTAAATAAGCAAGTTATTTCTAATAATATGGTAGAAAAAAAAAACTATCTAAAAAATATGGTCAGTTCGTTAAAAAACATATTTTATTACTCACAAATAAAATACACTCCATATTTGGGATGTCTTAGCTCTCTAGATAGCAATGCAATGTTCTCCGATGTTGGCCTTAAGAATACAATACACTTCATGTGCTTCAAATTGTCCCATTTACTTTGATTATCAATGCGTTCAAATAAATACACCTCTTTCTGCAATATTTCTGATTGGCTGTATACCATACTTATGATACTTGTCTGAAAATGAATTGATAAATTTTATAATTGAAAAATATACCAGCAACACTATCTTAAGACCAATTACATGACCATCAAAAAGAAACTGGCTAGAAAATTAGGGTATTAGTTTAACATATGAAATAATAAGTTCTATAAGATAATTTCACAAGATTGACAGAGATAAAAACTTGTTGCTAAGTTTCTTAACAATTCAGTTTAAAACAGGATAAAAACAGGACAATAATAAAAAATAATAAAAAAAAAGACAAAGTCGTAAATGCAAAACAGGTGCAAATTTGACGCCTATCAAGGAGAGAAGAATAGCGAGTGCTGTGTGGATGTAAAAAAAATACCCAATCTGGATGCCTTAAAAACCTAGGATACAGCTTAAAAAATATGTCCTGGATAGTTTTTAAACAGAACGGTTGGAAACTGAATAATCATGAAACTGTGAATAAACAATACTATTTACTTAATTTTAATAATTAGAACTAATGGTTTTATTATAACTGACAAGAACCCATGAATGTAAACATGTATCACAGAGCGAATTAATCTAGATTATCCATATTAAATTCAATAATTGAAAATAAACTCACAGTTTCTTTATCCATTAGTATAACTTTCATTCCTGGTCCACTCTCTTCCGTCATTTTGGTTATATACATTTTCACTGCTTGAATAACGTTCATTTTTTATGACTCTTAATTTCCTTAAATGTTTACAATGAGCTTAAAATAATGTTTAGAAACTTGAAGCCAGAAAAAAGAAGTCCATCAAAAACAACTCCAACATAGAACTTGACGTTGACAACTTAACAATTTTTTTTTTATTGAATAATTGACTCACTTGGCTACACTGGCCAACAGCTTAAACATTAAGTACCAATGAAAAATTTTAACAAAACAAACTTACAATAATACGAGCAATTATAAATATTGCACTTCTATAATATAATAAAACTTATAGAGAAATCAAACGAAAAAAAAACAAACATAAATAATAAAAAACACAACACAAGCTATTTTAAAAGTACAGTCTTAAAGTTAAATTATAAGGGACCAAAAGTATTCACATAAAAATAATAAATAATACAATAAATCTCTTGTAACTTCAGTAGCTCTTTTACATTTCGAGGAAAATTTTTGGAAGGTAATGTTTCAGAATATAAACCAATAAACAGAAGGCGTTGTATATTGAAATATGTACAATTAAAAAATAAATGTTCAAGGTCGCAGTTTTCAAATTTACAATATTTACAAATGGCATTGTTACTTAGTCTAAGAGTAAAATACATCTACGGCAAACGGACTGTTTAGTCTATTAGTGACTAATGAAGTTGCTAGCAACTAGTAAAAATATAGCAAAAATATTTTTCATTATTAACGTTACAAGCATGAAAATAAGAATGAGGAAGCATTTAAAAAAAAAATTAGTTCCCGAAATCAAACTAGACGTCGCAACGGGACCGTCTTGATTTCTCCGTTATAATCATTCTGGATTTCTTTCATATATCTCAATAATCAACTCATATTCTATTTGAACTTTTTCGTATTTGTATTGATATCTAAGTTTCGGATTTAACATTTTTTTTTTACATATTATTTAAAAAGGAACGGAACTTAGTATCTTTGGTCCATTCGTTTCCTGCAAAAATCAGCTTTTGCTAGAGTCGTCATCTAGTGTCTATTTATGTAAATTAAAATAAAAGAATATAAAGAAATCCCTTTTATCATAAAGTTATTTTCTATGATCAAGTCTCTGACAGTGAGGAACGGGAATATAATATGTTATAATAAGACGTAAAGTGTATCTCACGAAAGAAGTCCCGCGGCATAATTCTTCTGTCTTTGTAATAAAAACTAAAAAATTGTGATCCCAGGGACTTCTTTCGTGTGACGAACTCTGTTTTAGGATATTGCTTGAGATCTGACGTTTCTTTGAAATATAATTAATGTATATGTCAGTAAAAGATAAGAAGAATCTTGTAAAAGTTGGCAAAATATATAATTCAAAATAAAGTAGACTATTTGGATTATACTAATATCGTTTAGAAAATCAAATTATAAACATAATTATTCATATATTTATATGATGTTTTTCTGTTCTCTGAGAACTTTTGCAGCCAAGGAACCCCATGCTTTCACAGTTACAAAAAAAGCAGTAGTGAGTTTTGCTAAGTAATATTATCTACAGTTGGCATAATTTAGAATATGCACATGCTTATCTTGTCTTATCAGTTAACGGAAAATAATTTGCCCATATAGAAAAATTAAACATCGAATTTGAAATGAAATCTCTAATTTTAAATATACATTATGTTAATTATAATCCAGGTGATTGCTTTAATAATGTTCTCAGAGGCACTACAAAGTCATGGTTGCTGGAGCCACAGGAGGAATCGGGCAACCTCTAGCTTTATTGCTTAAAATGAACCCACTGGTGAGCAACCTAGCTTTGTTTGACGTCACAGCTGCTACCCCGGGCATCAGTGAAGATATAGCGCACATCGATTCACTGGCCAGAGTGACTTGCCACATTGGTGCTAATGAACTGGTAGGAGCTATTAAGGGTACGATTAAAAGCAAAGATTACATATGTTATAGCAAAGATTTTTTATTAATTAAAAGAAGTTTGCTTATGTTTTATTTTATTCAGGAGCGGATGTAGTCGTCCACGCAGCAAGTGTATCGCGGAAATCGAGTGCTAGCGCATTCGACACCAGTGCATGTATCGCACGTGACTTGGCCATTTGTACTTCCCAAAATGCACCCAAAGCAATGACTGTAATCATCTCTAACGTTGTGAATTCCATGGTACCGATCGTCTCGGAAGTAATGATAAAAGTTAGTCGTAAACTAAAAATAAGATAAATTAATAAAAAAATAAAAGAAGTTGTAAAAAAACCTTTTTAATATTGTAAAATATTATTATAATTCATTCATTTATCTAAGAACAACAAAATTGGCACTATCGGCATATATAATGTAAGTTTGAAACAAAATCAGTACTTTTAGCATATATCATTTGTAGGCTGGCGTGTACGATCCAGGTCGAATAGTCGGCGTTACCACACTGGACGTGATTCGAGCCTCAGTTTTCATAGCTGAGACATTCGGTATGGACCCTCGCAGCGTATCCGTCCCCGTGATTGGAGGCAGTTCAATTAACACAATTATTCCTGTGTTCAGCCAATGCAAACCTTCTATTAAGTTCCGAGACCAAGAGCAAATAAAAGCCCTCACGATTAGAGTACGAGAAGCTAGCGATAAGGTAAACAGTCTTTTAAGTAGTTTAAATTGACTAACTAATGGTTTCTCATTAGGTTGCATTATCCAAATCTTTATAAAATTGTAAATTCACAATAATTTTGGTAGATGACGATAGCAAAGGCTGGTTCCGCTTCAGCGACTCTGTCCATGGCTTATGCAGCTGCTCGTTTCGTTGATTCTATAATGCGAGGACTGCAGGTATGTTAATTATACCCCAAATGAAGTAGAAAGATTTCATCTATCAATGTCCACACTTCTGGGGCACAAGCCTTCCCTATGTAAATAGAAATAGTATGTAATGAAATCTGGACATCTGGTCATAACAGACCATTTAGGTGTGCTACAGAATGGCGGGTAGACCAAACGCGCGAATCAGTATCGATTTATGGCATATATTTAAATGTTTTAGTAAAATATCTTTACCTTTACATGGCCTCAAATAAAACTGGTTATTTCCAGGGTCAACCCAATATTACTGAGTGCACGCTGGTAAGGTCTGATGTGGCAACAGATCTCAAGTACTTCTCCAATCTGGTAGTTTTGGGCCGCAGTGGTGTCACTAAAAACCTAGGCTACGGAAACCTCAATGAGTTCGAACAACAGCTTTTCAAAAATGCTGTCCCTGAACTAAGTCAGGACATCGAAAAGGGTGAAAAGTTCATTAAGGAAGGAAGAATAAAAATGAATTAGTTGGTAAAAAATGTTGAACAGAGTGTAATTATTGTTCTTAACGAAAATCTGGAAAAATAAGAGATCTATTAAATGCAGTATTAATGCAAGATTGCCAGCCATATTATTGCAGATAAACTTTGCTAAGTAAATAATACATACATATTATGTCTGCAATGTCGTCTGCTTGGTCCTATTAATAAGATATTTATTATTAATAGTTTTTAATAACTAATTATTTTATTTTAACAATTAAAAAAATACATAAAATATCTGTGTACATATTTATTTAAAACCGTGGGTGGGTGTAGTGCATTTACCAATACTTAGGGCTGCCAGAAGGGTCGGATTCGTCTGGATTGCCCAGACATTTCCTTTGATGTCCGAAGTCCCGAAAAAAAAAACAAATATATTCCGACAAAAATTGCTAGACTCAGTAAATTCTAATACCAAATACATCTGGCAATTTAAAAAAAATATAGTAAGTATTTATATTATCTGTTACATTACATGATCTCGTAATTTGCCAAAAAAGTAAGTACTTGTTATTATTTTAAAATTTATTAAAAATGTGGATTCTTTTGATTAGTATTTTTTTTTTGCCAAAATGTTATCCCAAAATCCCTACCTTTTCAAATTTTGCCCAGGTATTTTTGTCTTCCCATCTGGCAACCCTACTTATACTGTTTGGTGAAGTGCAAATGACATGCACGACATGACGTGACAACATTACGGCCTCTGGGCTACCACTTTTGAGAAATTAAATTTAGAACATTCGGACGGACATCTAAAGTAAGCGGAGTTCAATATACTATCACAGATATTGCCGCTCTGCCACCCATAAGACTATTATCGCTTTCGCTTAGGCTAGCGTAAAAGTCTCCCCCATTTTATTAAGAGATTGTCTGTCTCGTTTACGCACGTTACATTTTTGCTATCTATCGCATATTGCTGCGACGTTCCCAGCGCGGGCTAGACCAGCTTTTGCTAAATTACTATTTTTCGTGCATTGTTGAAATTGATGAATAATTGATGATAATTGAATGAATAATTCTCGAAATTCATTTGTTGCATATGCAGGGCCGAATTAGCCACGTAGCAAATGTTGCAAATGCTACGGGCCCCGCGCGTTTGGGGGCGCTGCTCAATAGGGAGCCTCGCTATGGTTCAGAGTAAATTAATTAATTTTTTAAGAAAGTGTTAAATAATGCAAGAAATAAAATAACCACAATTTTGACTAGTCATTTTTCAAAATATGAACATAAACTGACAAATAAAACTCAGTTCACAGATTAGTTGTGTTGTATTATTTGAAAGGCAAAGGATGACTTTTCTATTTCGGGTGATTGCTACGGACCCCGCTCTGTCTTCATTCGGCACTGTGCATATGCACATATACTGCTCCGATTGCCAGCTTTATCACTTTCAGAGGTATAATTGTTGAGTAAATGGTGGGTTTTATTAGAATCAATGGTGTTTAAAATAAACTGTGTATTTTAATAATGGAGGTTCAATTTTACAACGAGGAAGTATTTTAATAAAAAAAAGAAAGCACTTAAAAGCGCCTTGTGAGGTGCTTTTTTAATACTTCCTCATTAAAAACGTTATAAAATGAAAAAGAATTATATTCCATTTTTTTGTTTTAATCCCATGCCTTTCTGGCGTAACAATTGTTATTCTAAAAATGGATAAAAGATAAAAACAATGAGGAAGCTTTAAAAAAAAACATTATACCCCGAAATCAAATAAGATGTTGCTAAGGTACTTTCTTGATTTCTCCATGATAACCCTTCCGGTTTTCTTTCATGTATAAAAGTAAATTAATTTTTAAAACTTAATATATAACTCATATTCTATTTGTACTATTTCGTATTTATATCGATATCTAAGTTTCGAACTATGCAAATTTCAGTTTTTAATATGTTAGTAAAAGGGAACGGAAATGACTATCTTTGGTCCATTCGTTTTCAGCAAAAATTAACCTTTGGTATAGTCGCCATCTTAAATACTTTCTAATTCTTATTCGTATCACCGTACGTGTCTTTGTACACGGCACTCACGGACAGTCGATTCTTAATAATAGTAGTGCGTACATGTTCATGCAAATATCGCTGCGAAGTGGAAGAGCGGAAATGTCCGCGATAGTACATAAGAGGAAAATAAAAAGGCCCCTTGCACGCGTATTGTGCCGAACTTGAGAATGTTTTGTTTTCACTCAAATGCCACTTTTTTTTGGTGCGCCAATACCTCTTCTTCTTCTTTTATTAATGGTTTATCCGCGCATTTCGCACAATTCTGCCAATGTCAAGTAAATAAATTAAATTACATGTAAAATGAAAAGAAAATAAAAGATGACGATGAACTTATCATTAAATCTTTCTGGCTATGCCATTTGTATCTGGCTGGTTTCGGTATCATTAAAAAGATCAAATTTTAAAGAATATAACTCCGACTTCAAATTAGGAAAATGTGTGGTTTTCATTTATTTCTCTTAGGGGCCATCCATAAATTACGTGAGACGTTAGAAGGGGGGTAGGTCGACGAACTGTGATATTAGAACAATATTTAGTAGAATTTGTATAGACAAACAGGCTAGATGGGGGGGCTAAAAATCATGAATTTTGTGTGACGTAACTTATGGACGGCCTCTTACTGTCAAAATGAGTGAATCTAATGAAGAAATTAAATAAATTTAAAAATTTTATTACAAAAAAAGTAAAAATGTAACGCAAGCCGCGAAATAAATTTGTGACGTTTATGGATCTGTGAGAGTAGCACAAATTTGGTTTAAGCGTTTTCAGTTCGAAAATTATGATGTCAAAAAATACACGTCGCTCCGGTCACACTGTAACGGATAAAATGGATGCCATTTTTGATTGGAGCAAGCAAACGCAAGCAAGTGGACCAAGATCGGCATATCAGTGGTCACGACGTAGCTGAAGAACTGGGGATTGACCACAAAAAGTTTTGGCGCTTTTAAAAAAAACTGGGTACACAAAAAAATGAGATACTTGGGTATCTCGCGAGCGTGAGCTCGTGCTGAAAGAAACCATAAAAACCGTGTACTCATTTGTGATTCTTTATTACGGCCTAATGAAACCGAACCATTTTGGAAGAAGTTGATGACTAATGATAAAAAGTGGATCTCATACGACATGAACGTGCGAAAAAGGTCGTGGTCAAAGTTCGGTCAAGCTTCACAGACTGTGGTGAAACCCGGGTTAACTTGCAACAAGGTAATCTGTATGGTGAGATTATAAGGGCATTATTCATTATGAGCTATTACCACCAGGCAGAACCATCGATTCTGAACTCTACTGCGAACAACTGATGAGATTAAAGCAAAAATTAATCAATAGAAAGGGTGTGGTTTTTCATCATGATAATGCTAGACCTCACACATCTTTGACCACTAAGCAAAAATCAAGAGAGTTTGACTGGGTGGTGTTAATACATCCGCAGTATAGTCCTAACCTTGCACCTTCAGATTTCCGCCTGATTCGGTCTCTTGAGAATACTTTAGATAGTGTTAGGTTTACATCATGCATGGACGGCCAAAACCACTAGTCGTGGTTTTTATTGAGATGCCTCTTTTTATAGAAATAGGATCATATCCCTACCTACAAGATGACAAAAAGTTACCAAACATAATGGTACCTATATATTTTACTTAAATGTAAATAAACTTTATTAGAAAATGCTTTGAATTTCCATATAAAATGCGAAGAAACTTTTTCCTTAACATATTACATCATTGAAATTGGGACAATCCCGGAAAAATCGGGTCAGGTGGCGACCCTGACTGGTCTGCTAATTTATACTATAATCTATCACAGGACGTTTCAAACCGTACTTAAACGATCTTAAACTTCACTTAAACAGGTTATAGTTTTTGATTTTTATTTTCTTATTGATCAGTTGATAGCAGTTTTATAAAACTAAGACTTTTTGCCACGTGAAACTTAAAAAAAAACTTAAGTTATTTAGAATAATCAGTTGAGATTTTGTACTTTTCTCAATTCAGAAACCGGCTGTATGACAATGATATTGCACTGAGAAAGGGTAGATTGGTGACTTCTGAGGGTAATTTACTTGCATTCGAAAAGTGGCACGATAAAACTAATTATATACTAATTAGCTCACTTGAGCGTAGTCTGGCGTTGGCAGTGTTGACATAGTGCGTTTGTATCCGAACATCGTTTAAAATATCCTGTCCTCCGTCACGCTAAAAAAGTCCACAAGTAAGACTCCAAAGGGCCTGGGGCAGTAAGACTCCAAGATAATTCTCCAAATCACGAAAAAAAAGGTCTGGCGAATACGCAGGATGACGAACGGTTACTAACTGCAGTTCCTGAAGGGACAAAACTGTTTCTCGTGCTGTAGGGGAGCGGGGGGTATTGGGAGCGGTCGGTAATGAGAGCGCTACTGGTAGAACGGAACGTATTCGCTTTGGCATGATCGTAAGTACTCGGCCGCTTCCGACAAACATCGACAAACTTCGCCTGACGCGCACGAGCCGGCAGTTCAATTAGTTGAGTCACAAGGGATGGTTGTGTGTTTTTCGCTCTAAGCTTACAAGAAAACAGCAGATTGTCAGCGCCAAGGTAAGCATTTAGTTATATTCTTTTTTTAATGGATTCGTCCATAACAGATCCATCACTTCATATTCTAACAATTCCAATTGGTTAAATTGAGTTTGAAAATAAAAGTACGTATTTAGAATAGTTTTTTCCGAAATGGAGGTCAACGGGTAATGGTAGCCTAGGATGGCTACCACTACCCGACATAGCTCCCATTACCCCATTTCCAAAATTATATATTGATGTCGTTTCAGTTCTCAAGAAAACTTCTTTTTTATTTAAGATGCCACGTAAAAGCAATCGTACGACCACAAAAGGGTCATGGACGGTTGATACACTAGAAAAAACCGTCACTGTTTTAAAAAGAGGAGGTACTTCGGTATACAAAGTATCTCAACAAACCGGCATAGCTTACAGCACATTAAAAAAGAGATACAATTTAGCGAAGGCAAACAATGCTAGTTACAAAAACTCTCCTAAGCTGGGAAGGCGTACTGTATTCAGTATTGCACAAGAAGAAATACTGGCTAACCACCTTCGAACTATGTCAAATAAATTTTATGGCCTGACGAGAGAACAGTTTCGTAAAGTATGTTATAGTGTGGCTAAACAGCTAGGTGTAGATGATAGATTTAACCAAGTCAACGAAACTGCGGGAAAAGATTGGCTAGCTGGATTTTTACAACGCCATCCTGATTTGAGCATTAGAAAGCCTGAAGCTATTAGTATTAATAGAATCCTCGGATTTAACAGGACTGAAGTAACGCTTTTTTTTAACAACTTGGAAAGATTAATGACGCAACATAAAAGTGATGAAGATTCATCTACTGAAGCAGTTGACGAAAATACACTTTGCGACGATGAGTCAGAATATTCCGAAGAACAAGCTTTATGTGCAATTTGTCTAGATACGGGAAAAAGCGGTGAGATGTGGTATCGCTGCAGAAGTTGTGGAAATTGGGCCCATCAAGAATGCTCGGGCAGTGATCGTCCAGATTCATATGTCTGTGCTTTTTGTTTGGATCCTTTACTTAACTTTTTATTATTTCATATTTATTTGCTTGTTTTGATTTAGAAGTTCAGTTTTTATTTACTTAAGTTTAGTACTTAAGTTTAGTCTTTCCGGAAAAATTTAAGTGTGTGGTTTTTTGTTTAAATCCTTAAAAATGGACCTGACCTGGAGGCCAATTCTACTAAATAAATTTTGTTATTTGTCGTTTTAAACAAAATTTATTTAGTAGAATTGCCTCCCCCCTGTTTGTTCACCCATTATAATGTCGCATTTATTATTTGTTATTTTCTTTTAGAAGTTGACTTTTTTATTTGTGTTTACTAAATTTTATGTACGATCTCAATTAAACTACTTAGGTTAAGTTAAATTTTTGGTAAATTTAAAGTTTGTGGCTTTTAGTTTGGATCCTTAAAAAATGGATATGACCTGTTCACTTTTTGCAATGTCGCATTTATTTTTTGTTGTTTTATTCGATAAGTTGTCTTTTATTTTTGTTAACTAGATTTTATGTGAGATCTCACTTAAACTACATAAGTTTAGTTAAATTTTCGATAAATCTAAGAGAGTGGCTCCCATTTCCGATATGAGCGTTAAATAAGCTCTCATTTCCCGCATGTGTCGGGTAATGGGAGCGACTGACTTTTTTGTAAAACTTTCATTGTATCCTAATTCTTGGCTGTATTAAATTATAAGTTTGATTAAACTACACTCTAATAATAAAGGTAAGAGTTTCCACTTTAAAATAATTAAAATGTTAAAAAATTTGGTTTTTATTCATATTTTCCCTTAGTAGGCTCCCATTACCCTATACTCCCCTATGAGGTCTCGCGTTGACATAGAGCAATAATGTTGTATATTGATTAATGATGCTGAGACCACCAAATAGTTACCATTAACTTTTTATTGGTAAGTTTTGCCCAGGTCAACGCCATATTAGTGTCCTAAAACACTAATATGGCGTTGACCTGGGGTCAGTCATTGCATTTTTCTTAAACGGTTATCATAAAGGTTATCATTCGATCCAATATTCCTTTATTTATGTACCGATTCAACAAGGCAACACAAGTTTCAACACGCGTTTCTTTCTGCAGATCAGTCAAATCATGAGGCACCCATTTTCCGTATTTTTTTATTTTATTGATTTGACGCAAATTAGTCAATATTGAGGATAAGGTAACGTCAAACCATGCCGCTAATTCCTGAGTAGTTTGACTAGGATCGGCTTTCATCATCTCTCTTAATTCATCGTTTTTCGCCTGTGTGCATTTTTTTACTACTATCGGATGACTACTATCAGATGTAAAAACTTATACCCTAACTAATTTAGAAACAGCATTATTCACACACAATAGCTAAAAATATCTGTGACATTAGAATAAAATTACTGATAATGGTCTAGCACTTGATGTTTAAATTTATAAACATGCTAATTATTTTCGAAGTTTTGTAAAAACAACTTTAAGCGATTACAGAGATAGACCAATCGTTGGCGCCATTTCGTAAATAAATCGAAATTAGTTCCGTGTAAGCGGAGAATTAATATGCTAAATGAACTTTACGAGATCAGTTGACTGTATTATATATAAGCATAATTTTATACGCGTGGTATAGTTTCTTTAAGCAGAAATATTTTTCCCTTAGAATACTTCTTTTTTTTAATTTATTTATGACACAAACATTTCAAATTTTATTACAATTATAGACTTAAATGCGAAAAAGACATTGAGTGCCACTTAAAAATTTTAATAATGACAATTTTCCAGGCAAACTTTCATCCTCTATTTTTCGCGATAAAATGTAGCCTATGTCCTTTCTTAAAGTTAAGTCTATTTACTATATTAATTTCCATTAAGATGGATTAAGTCTTACATTAAGCTATCGATACCTTAAATACGAATCTAAAATCTAGCTAAGTATCGATACTAGAACCATACGCTGATCAAATTAGAACTATACAGAGTTTGCCAAAACATATGCAGTGACATTTACCAATTATATTAAATCATCATATAAAATATAGCATTTTATAATCTATAATAAATATCGATTATAAGTTTATTGGAAATTAACAATATCGCTGAAATAAATATCGATTTTACACAAAGGGATTATTTTTTCACAAGCCTATTCCTTATGAATTTTACGAATCGAGGACACAGCAGTGTACAAGCGTAAACACGTTTTTCATTGCCGCCATCACGGATCTGAAAAAACGGGTCCGGATTAGAGAAAAGTAAAATTTCGGACGGTAACATTCCTGACAGTGCACAGGCTAGCATTACCTATATTAGCCTGACATACCTATCGGACCGGAAAAAATCGGACCGCCGGACCTGAAAATTCAGTGTAGTGCACAAGCGCCCTTCTGAACTCGTACTCAAAAATCACTCGAATTTTCGCAATATTCATCTTTCTTGTTTCAAGTTGAATAACAAAAACAATTGAAACTCGATATACAAATGTTTCACATTTTTTAAAAGAAGACCATCATAGAAACCACGTGAAAAAAGTTTCTTTCGAAATCCTCAAACCATGAAGATACTATATCAAATCAAGGAACTTATTACAATAAAACGGTAATTTCATTTTTCAACTCCTAATATTATTCCTACATATTTATAGTTGATTTTCGTTCATAATCTGAAAAAAAAGCAATAATAAAAAGAAACCGTCATCAAAACTTTTTCAAAACTTCTTAATAAAAAAAGACAACTGAGAAGAGAGAAATAATATAACAAAAAATTTATTTTAAATAAAATCCAACCAGCCGTGTTATTAGTAAGAGGAAAAACAGCACTCTCAGAAAAGTTTCTATTTTTCCTTTACCATACATGATTGATTATCGAGTGCCATAAAATAAGTAATAGAAAATCTACTAATAATATTCATACTCGCAATCCGTTAAGGGTTGCTGATCCATTGAAGTAAAATAAGTAAGTATTATACTAACGTTTTAAACTATTCCTATTACTAATGTTTTAAGAAATAATCGACCGTTAAATTTCGATTAGGAAATGATAAACGATTGTAACTGATTATTTTGATAATCGATTCGTGGCAATCGATTCGCACACCGCTACTTTATTCATAGGGAAAATTTTTGATTTACTTTGACTTTTATCCGCTGTTCGTGGCGGTGGTGTGATACGTGATTATCTGCGAAAGGTCGGCGGGGTCAGCTTGAATTCGATAAAATCATTTAATAACGGGTGCATATTTACAGTGACAAATTAAGTCAGAATGTTCTCCCGTGCATTAAAACCAGTTGTGGCTGCTGCAGCTCAGAATGGTGCTAAAAATTTCTCCACCAGCAGCCAGGTTGGTAAAAAAGTGCTCAGTTCTCGTTATCACAGACAAGCTGCTGTTTTATCATACAATATGCCGTGATAGCTTTTCTATGCAAATGAGTTCGAACGTTTACTGGTTTTTCAGATGAACTATAAAGTAGTAGTGGCTGGTGCCGCTGGTGGAATTGGTCAACCCTTGGCCCTTCTCCTGAAGCAGAACCCTCTAGTAACAAGGTTGGCCCTGTACGACATAGCGCCAGTGACCCCCGGCGTAGGTGTTGACTTATCTCACATGGACACCCCGGCCAAGGTCACAGGTCACAAGGGGCCTGAAGAACTGCCAGCTGCCATCAAAGGTAACGCAAAGAATACAAATATACTTTTCTATTATCTAACCTTAAAACAAAAACCACAAGTTACATAACACTGTTGGCATTTCAATGTCAATTTCAAACTATTATTGCTACTCCATTTGATTAATCCAAAGTCTATTATTATTTAACATATAATATCATAGTCTTTCAATAATTCCCATGCTTGGAGGAAAATATCTCATTTACATTTAAATATGGTGGTAGTAATAATATCCAAGGTTGATGTCCTTGACTTTGTAACCAAATATATATTGCCATAACAGTTTGTGCTGTTCATTATAGATAATAATCATTGATTAACTGACTTCTTTGTTTATAATTCCCTAATTATGTAATGCAAGATATTGTGATCTAACAATAAAAAATGTGCTGTGACGCACACACTTTGATTATATTAATCAAAAGCATATATATATGTGTGTGTATGTTATTAAGTTTAAAAGTCTGCCTGACAGAAGTCTTTTGTTTTGAACAAAACAATGAAATACTTACTCTTTATCATGCACACACTAACCGGCAGTAAAATTGTCAGCCTTATTGCTAAAAAGCAATAATCACTTCCAGGCAACTTTAATGTGACATGCAGGTTACGCTTAAATATTGCACTACCGAATTTTGGAAAACAACCAAAGATAATGAACCAACTTATATGTTTATTTTACTGTATGTTGTTGTTTGACCTTACTTAATTTAATTCATTACACTAAATACCTAATTTGTTTTTGACAATACATTATAAAGATTATAGGAGATATTATTATAAAGCCTTGAGAGTATTTATAAACAAAAAAAAAATTATTTATTGTGTCTTGTAATAATTTCATTAAAATAAACACATCTAGCAGAAATTATTCTAAATTTTGCTGAATACTTGGTACAGGTGCGGATGTGGTAGTAATACCAGCCGGAGTGCCCCGTAAGCCCGGTATGACCCGTGATGACCTGTTCAACACAAACGCGTCTATCGTACGCGATCTGGCCGCATGTGTTGCCCAGAACGCACCCAAAGCCATCATGGCTATCATCACCAACCCTGTTAATTCAATGGTGCCCATTGCCTCTGAGGTTATGAAGAAGGTAAGAAATTTAATCAATTGACCATGGACTTGTATGTTTAATACAAGATCATTTATTTAGTCTAGGGCTTAGGCTGTTATAAATGCTTTTGAAAGTTGAAACTACATAATATTGGTTCATAAATCTTCTTCGGGAGACCTTATACTGAGAAGAACCGGCAAGATACTGCAGTCTGCTTTTTCTTTTACAATTTTAATTCTGAACAAAATATTTAGTATTTAGTTTCTTTACAATGTCCAAATATTCTTTATTGTTACACAATTATGATGTGACATAAATATGGACAATTTACTATTAAGCCAAAGGAAAAGAGAAAGTAGTTGAGAAGAGCTGATATTTAGTTTCTGGCTACACTAAAAACAACAAAAGTATGTTCTCATTTTTTACTAACCAAGGTAGTAATCTAATCAAAATTCAACAGTCTTTACGTATTCAAGATGTTATTTTTCATAATTTGCAATAATACCCACTTAAGACTTTAACATATGAGTCTCTCCCCTTCGCGTCAGGGGAGTCTCATGGAAACTAAATTAAAGTAGGAAAGTCCTGCTCATCCTTAGCCACTCACCAGCAGGCCCACCAGGTAACCGGTATCCTAATTAATGTGTCAAAATGAATGAACTTAGTTTGCAATATGGACTTCATCTTGATAGATAAATCATGATTCCTGATAGATCTGTCAAAATGAAGTCTCCGATTGTCTGATTGGCCAAGATGTATAACATGACAAACTGTAGAAGCTTTTGTCTACACCTTAATTACACTTTTCTCGGGTGCTCCCATACAACATCTCATTTCGAACCCGAGAAAAGTGATAAGAAAAAAAGAGATAGTGTACAGCGCTTTTCCCTGCGACGGCAAAACTACTGTCGCACTTGAGCGATAAGGACAGAAAGTGCTCCCATTACTTCTCAGTCCGATTGTTTGAGAAGGAAATATTAAACAAAATTGGAAAGAATCCTTCACTCTTTTTTGTTAATTTTATATTTTCCATTGATACTGTGTTATATTAAGCGACATAATGTTGATAAGCTACTATCACGGATAAAACGCGTGATCAGTCAGAAAATGCATAACTTGTAATAGATTACTTGATAATTATGTGATAACATAAACTTTTTATTTACATCATAAATTATTTTAGTTTAAAAATAGAATTATTAATAAATATGTCATAATATTTACTCTATTGTTTCTGTGGACATGTAGTTATATATAATCTTTCCCCCCGAGATTTTAGGTAACTGACGAATTTATTTTCAACGTATACGTTTTTGCTTCAATTTGACAAGAAATGGCTTAGATAAATGCATTAAAGTTGAGTGGGTGTATGCTACGTCACTACGCTACGTTTTATAGAAAATGTACATTAGCGTGACGTCATGCGATATGCGATTCTACTTAATATATCGCCCTAATTTATTTATTACACAAAAAAAATATTTGTTCAATATTTTTCAATATTCTACCAGACGGACAAACAAACAAAAATTAGTCGTCATCTCAACTCAATGTCCTTTATTTTACATAAAATTCAAAGTATAATATTGAAACAATATCTTTCAGTGGCTCTTCAAAAACTGCGAAACATCGTAAATTCTAACTTTGGCCTGTTCCGTCTACTACGTTAATGACGTCTTGTATAAAAGTATATAATTCTCGTAGGCGGGCGTATACGATCCGGCACGAATCCTCGGCGTGACCACATTAGACGTGGTCCGCGCCGCCGCCTTCATCGGCGAGATCAACGGCGTGGATCCCCGCTCGGTCACCATTCCCGTGATCGGCGGTCACTCGGGCGTCACCATCATACCGCTGCTCAGTCAGAGTCAGCCGGCTGTCAAACTCTCCGATCAGGAGAAGATCAAGGCCCTCACGCAGAGGATACAGGAGGCCGGCACTGAAGTAAGACCATGTTACTTCTATTTGTAAGATTAAAAAAAAAGGAAATTTCTTCAAGAGCAAAAAGGACAGAAAACATCTTCTACTCCCTCGCCAGTATAACAAAAGATAGTTAAATTCCTTATATAATGTACTAGCTTTTCGCCAGCGTTCTTGTATAATACATAAAATCTATGAAAAAAACCGCATCAAAATCCGTTGCGTAGTTTTAAAGATTTAAGCATACATAGGGATATAAAAGCGACTTTGTTTTATACTATGTAGTGGTGTTGTTCTTATACTACGGATCATATTATATCAAATAGGTATGTTAAAAAATCTTAAATTTATTAAACATAAAGTTAGTTATTTGTATAAATGTATAAATTTGTAGTCTACGTTGTATCTATGGGTTTGCTCAACAATTAATTTAAGCAGTACGATGTTATGCATTGAGACAGGTAAAGGAACATGGCCATACTGCCAGATCTTACAAAAATTAACCACAATAACATTTTCAGGTAGTGAAGGCCAAGGCAGGCGGTGGTTCCGCGACATTGTCTATGGCGTATGCGGGCGCTCGTCTCACCGGTTCTGTGCTTCGCGGTCTGAAGGTAAATTATAATATTATCTTTTAATTATTTTATTATTACAAAAGACATTATATTATCCGAAATGTTTGTCATATTATTATCAATACTAATATTATAAAAGGGAAAGATTTGATTGTATGTTTGCATCTATTAGGTTCCTAAAATACTGGAGCGATTTAAAAATTCTTTCATCTACGGGTACTTGCATCATACGCAAGTAACATAGACTATAATTTACACATTTATAATTAACAGGTAGTTGTAATTTAAAATTGATTTTGCTGTTTCTTGACGTTTAAATGCACCTCAACCGTATTTTTAACCGACTTCATTAGACCATATTTTTGGCCGACTGTACCTGTCAACGGCACGTCAAGTTATACAAAAATTTCTCCACCTGATTTTAAACCTTAATGTATGTAGATAAAGGTCAAAATCAATTTAATAAATTTGACATATTGTGCTAACCTGACTGGCAGCCGTGTGAACCTTTATTTTTTAGAAGACAAATTTCAAAATATACCAATCATAAAAATAAATTTCAGGGCGAGAGCAACGTAGTGGAATGCGCATACATTAAGTCAGACTTGACAGAGTCCCCATACTTCGCCAACCCCGTTGTCCTGGGACCCAACGGTGTAGCCAAGAACCTCGGCTACGGTCAACTGAACAACTACGAGCAACAACTCCTCAAAGAGGCCATCCCTGAGCTGCTGAAGAACATCAAGACCGGTGTAGACTTCGCCAACAAGTAGACGCAATCAAATTCATCATTTGTAACCTTCTTTTGCGTAATTACACCTGATCAGTGCTTATAGTGCAAATGATTAAGATAATTTGTGAATAATTATTTTAAATCATTATTATTTTAGAAGATATATTGAAAAAAACTGCCTTAGGAATAAGTATTAATGTATTGTGAACGCAATATACAGTAAAAATAATTATTATTATTGTAATACAATAATTAAGTATTATACAAGTAGCAAGAGTGCAAAACAAACTTTTGTAGTGAAGAAAAATTAATCAATGTTTAGAGAACTACATTAGTTAATTGGTACTTTTTAATTGGATTTTTATTTTTTGTCTCAAAATGAATAAAATAAAAAATTAAGTAATTTAGTGAATTATAGAAAGAAATAGCGCTGAGACGGGTGTTGATTTTTATGTGAAATGAGAAGGTATAACACGTAAGTTTAATGTGGTATTATGGCTATAAGTAGGTAAATATTATTCACAAATCTGTTATCGGTTTTTTTTTAATTATATATTATTTTATTAAATTTTTTATTGCATTTTATATTATCCATTTTTGTTTACCGAATACTAGCTTACTGTAAAATTATACATTATTTTTGAGATATTCATACCAAAGTTGCCATTATGACAGTGTAGAAAGAATGAATGTTGTAAATATTCGATGTTTTGTTAATAAGTGTATTATGTATGTATGGTAATAAATCATTTGTTACCTATAACGTTTTTTGTTCTTTTTTATTTTATAGTATGTTTCCATTTACACAATTGGTCATAATAAATCACTATTAGATTTCTATTTCGAGAGAGAGTTTTATTAAATAAAGGAAAAAAGTTTATTTATTAATTTGAAACACCCGCAAAATCAATCAGTCGCATCACATTTTAATTTGTGACGTCACATTTCAATAAACATAGTGCTTGTAGCAATTAATCATAATATGGTTAAAAAAAACCGGCCAAGTGCTTTTTGTATAACAAGTCAGATTCGCGGAAGAAGAGTTTCGTATAGGAAACTAGCAAAAAAATATGAAGTATTCATTTTATTTGGTATTTGTTGTAATAGCGGCAACCCCACATACATTGGAAAATTGATAGCAAAGTTCATTGTGTCTAAGCCCAATATGGTGTGTGATTGTCGGCAGTAGACAACCCTGAAATTATTTATAAGATCGTTTAACATTCTTTAGTAAAATATAGCAAACAACTTAAAATCTACAGTATGACTTTGCCAATGCAAATATTGACATTATTACACATTACATATTCTTACAGCTTGTTGCACAAACGTCCTTTAACATTGTAATTAGTTTAAGGCGTCATTACCCATACCAATGTGACATTCATTAGAGCTTAAATGCGTTATTAAACGTTAATGGACGTTTGTACAACTGACCGTAAAGCTCATAATGTTTAGTTACATTTAACCCTTTTAGAATCAGACGCCTTTTACCTTCGTCGACTGTATAGGTTTATGCTCAAAAACGATTTTGTTGTCACTTAATGTACTGTTGTGTATATCTTCTTTATTTTACTATAACAAAGCTAATAATAACCACATCAGATTACTTAGAAGAATATTGAACAGATTACTAGACGCAAATTGAATGTTTGCCAAGTTTTATATACAATTACTACATAGCTTATAAATAGAAGAGGACAGGTATTAAAATTTACAAGTTGAGCTATTGTATGTGAATTGAGCTAATTTGTGAGTGATAAATATATAGAAAACCGTACTAATTATTTTACTTTGCCTATATTATGGAACGGAGCACTCGATTCAGCTACAGCAACCCTAAGACTCGCGCTTGGACTGGCGTCACAGTATTCTCGGCATACTTGGTGCTCCTCATGGTAGAAATATATATAGAAATCTTCGAGAACCAGACACATTTGCGCATTTATGACAAAATTTTAGATGTGTATACGTATATATTGAGATTTTGTGAATATGAAAATTATGCAAGCAGGTAAGAGACTTAGAAGTAGAATACTAATGTAACCTTTGTGCAAAACAATCAAAATGGCGACTTGTGGTAATTGATAAGGGTATAAAGGATGGAGGCGAGAAATACAATGAAATTTCCATTGCTACAAAGCAGTTAAACGTCTACGAAAGATTTGTTCGATCGGTATGCTCCGAAAAAAATCCGAAAATATGTATCATGGGAAATTTGTATCGATTTCGTCATTAACTGATAAGTTAGAGACTTAATAAGTGAATAATTCGATTTAATATACGAGAAGGTCACATTAATTTTCTTTTGCTTGCGTATTAGTACGATCAAGAGAACATCAGTTGTGTTCTAGATTTTAAATCTTGGTTATACAAAACTCTTAATTTTAAACCTTAATACGTTTGGAATATAGTTCAAAATCAACTATGTAAAGACAACAGCTGTGTCACAAGCAGAACTTGTAAAATGAGAACACATGAGACTTGAGAAACACTCGAGAGGCTCCAAAGTGAGAAATGCCTATACAATATATCGCTCTCGCCCGCGAATCTCCCGAGTTCGTCATGCTACGCGGACTGCTTGCGCAACATACTTGTATGAGAGAATTTTAGATACTACTACATCTACTTTGATATCATGCCGTACGTACGTACCGTTACTACCTACTTACTATACGAATGTTGCTGAATTAGAGACAACACACTTTTACCAAATAGCATTTATTGATTTTTGTCATCAGCAATTATTTATGTATAAAACTCGCAATTTTAATAATTTAGTAAGTCTTTGTTCTGATTGTGGAATTGATGCCCAACTATGGACCCGGTTTCTGCCTGCTGATTGACTTTCAGCAAAGAAACTCTTAGCACAAGTCTCCGCGACGCGAAATCTTTAATCGTCAATGACATAAGAAGTAGTGGTAAAGGCAAAAGTAACATTGGTTGTTATCATAAATAATGATTATTATTTATAATAAATAAAGGGCAATAAAACAAGTATTTTTTTAATAAAGTTCGTGCACGGTGTAATAGTACGTTTCTAGAGATCAATATTGTGTAATATTTTAAATATAGAAATGTCACGGTTTTTCGAAGTTTAATTTGTATTATCAAGATCTATCTAACACGACGTTTCTTTCAGTCGTATACGTTGAATGGTTAGAGCGTTCGCTGTGCAATGAGTTTCGCATGAACATGTCACAGAACAGTGAATCATAGACTATTATGTGCTTTGAGATCTTGAGCTTTTATGTGCTTTGGTAGATACCTACGTCAAGTCATTGGTCGTTAACACGCACCAATCTCTATAGGACCGTGTAGTGGGTTATAACCCGTCCTTTCTTTTTTATTCGATTCATAGGAAAGGTCTGTCAGCCAGTAACTCGCGCTTAATTTGCTACTATGTGTACCATCAATTCTACTTCCTGCTGCGCTTGCGCAACTATAACCAATTTTGGAGTTAAATTAGCCAGCCATTGGAGACCGTCCATTAAACGCCGGCAGTAAATTATTTATTTTTCGTTCTGTTTCTATTTTAGGGTTTCTGTTCATATGTAATTAGTCCATAAGGGAATAATGTATAAATCGTGCCCTGTAGTGGTTCAAACACATTTTTTAAATTAAATGAAACGCATAAGTTTAGATTTGCATCTTATTTATTGATTTGTCCTCCCAGAACTTTTGTTTTCACTTATGATCGGACTTACAAGGATTATCTTTTCTTTCGGCTACTTACATAACATTACAGTTTTATAAAGAAATCACAATGTCGAGAGCGACCCGGCGGCCGCCGCGCCATCACTCGTGTTAATATAATCAGTCGTTTTTACATTAATCGAAAAGACATTTACAAAAAAAATGTAACACGCGGCGCGGACAGATCTGCACCCAATCAATACCCACACGCTCACCCTCATCATTATAAAAACAAAACTTTCAATATGAAAGAAACGTTTCTCGAACATTATAAAAATTACCTGTAAAAATTTACAGTCGTCACTTGCGGGAACAAGGCGACGACAAACGCTAAACAAAATAATAACTATTCACAATTTCTAACACTCGATCACAATGTAAATACTCTTTGAGCTAATTCAAAAATAAAATAATTAAAAAAAACATCGTTCACTGCGGATGCAGACCTCCGCGAGTCCACGCCGGCCGGCGCCGGGCTTAACTAAAAAAAATGAAATCTCTATAATTAAACCTTAACTAACTTCTACATAATTACAAATGCACAGTGTTTACACATTAACCATACACTTTTACATATGTATATAGTTTTAACGTTAACTTTACCGAGTTTACATATATATACGTGTGTGTGTGTATCATAAAGGTCATGACCTCGGACATCGCTACGACGAATGAGATGAACTATTTACAAGAAAAGTGATAAATTCGACTACGCGCAGCTAACTAATAAATGAACGGCGCCACAGCGAAATCCGAAGCTTTACAAAAATAATAATTAATTAATTGTAATAATAATCTTACAAAAAGTGTTGGTAACGGGCATGCTGTACAGAGCCCGCGTCCAGCTATACACAATAATGTACAAAGTTAGTACCTAAGTGACGCTACATTTTATGGACGAAGTCGCGTGGAAACCCTATAGTCTACTGTCCCCGTCATCAGAGTGCGCATGGAAGACTGGATAAAATATTACAAAAAATTTCACCGTTCCCAAGGAAACCGCTACACCCGGTTGCATTAAACATACTTAAAAAACGTGTTATGGTATATTTCGCGGCAGTTAAACTTAAAAAAAATGCCCTAAATTTTACCAATTTAATGAGAATATATCCATATAACAAACATTTAGCTTATGAAGATTATAAAACAATACTAGATTGTATTGTATTGAAAATTTACTGTTTTTTTTTTCGTGTGATGTGCTAGATCATTATCATACGAAAGTTAAGTAAATAAAATATATGCTTATTTACTCCTTTCTTTAATCAATTCGATATTTTTCAACAAATGAGGCATAAGTCCCTGTTACACAAAAAAAAATTATACACATAAAATATCACTGGTATGAAAATGATTTAGATATAATGTTCTAGCACAACTCTAAAATAGTAAATGACAGTTGCATTGATTAACATTTAATTCATTTATCACAATTTTAACTATCGAGGCAGCGGATATTGCGTGTATATATATATATAAGTTCAAATTATGTGCCTAATTTACAGACAATATCACAAAAATGTATTGTAATATAACCTATATTCGTTTGTCTTCACTGTACATTGTTTACATATTTTAATGATTTTTATACAGTGTCCACTGCGATGATACAGCAACCATGATGGTAAGCGGTCTCCTTGTTACCGGCACCAGTCCACATTTTAAAGCTCACCACAACACATTGAATGTATTAATATCCCTGTTTTAAAAAATAATCAAGTGTTTTACACTCCCAAAAAACCAAGGTCACTATCGACTATTGTCCTTTTGTTATATTTAAAAAATGTCTGTAATTCACTGCTCTCCGTAAACATTATGGATACTCGACTTTGATTTTAATTTTTTTAAATATAATTAACAAATTGTTATTCCATAATTAAGAAGTTGATTATATTTAATCGTTGTTTAAATTTTCGAATGATAAATTCAAGTTTATAATTATTTTTAGATTAGATAGAAAAAGTTTTTTTTTTGTTTAATTTATATTTATTATTATATAATTTTTGCACTTTTCACATACACATGATCATTTAACGATTTTGAGTTTATGTAGTCATGCTCAATGGTTTGGAGTTCATTCGCGCGTCAAAAGCACTTTGCGTTTAGCTAGCGTTCATTTTTAAGCTCAATAAACTTTTACACTTGCCACTAAAATTAGTGACTTCCCGAATGTTGCATCACATTTAAATAATGTTAAAGCGTTCATTGATGCTCCTACTTTAAGCGTTATGCTCGGTCAACAGAAGTCACTCAAATTATTCTTCTTTATAATCTCAAATGTTCCTAGTCGTCACTCATATCGATTCAGTCGTATTTTAAATTTTGTTACTCAATACCTTCTTAATCTTTTTTTTTTTCATTATTCTAGGATATTCAAATATATTTTCTCTTTCCTTTTCTTCTTCTTATTATTTTGTATTCTTTTTTCAATAATCTTGACGCATTTAAGAATAGTAGCGGTGAAAAAAGATTTGCAACAAAACACATTTTCAACTTCCAAAGCGTAACAAATACAAGTTTAAAACAATTCTCTGGCATACGACGCTTCTCCATTTGAATTTTCGTACGCCGCAATTAAACTCTTGTATGAACTTCTTGTTAGCGAGTATCAGCGCTGGGCGCTCGGCATATGACGGAGAGACGGGTCCGCTAGGAGACTGAGTTAGGTGGGTGAGGTGGAGCCCGGGGGGGTCAGTCTTCGTCCGATAGCGGCTCGTACTGAGACGACATTAGCGGCGCCGGCTCTGATACCGATACGGGCACTGACCCCACGCCCACCCCGACCCCCACTCCGCCCACCCCGCCGCCCACTGAGCTGCTGCTGCTGCCGCCCGCTGTGGACAAACGGACAATTAAACTGTATACCGACGACTCTACCGATGGCTCAGTAGTTATGGGAAGAAAACGTAACGCACAATTAGAGATATTTACTTACGCATTTATAATATAAGTATGTATTTTCAACTGTTAAACGTGGACTGTTTAATTAAAATGAAAGAGAAAGAATTTAATCAAAAAAGCTGACAAAGACAATTTATAAATAACAATAAAAATTTACAAAGTCCTAAAAATATCAAATGAAAAATATATTAAAACTTATTTAATTTTGCATTCACAATGCTATATTGAAAAATATTCTTGATGAAAAATGCTAAAAAATCCACTTTGTCCCTGGTACTTTGGCAATACGGGCGACTGCTCTAACCACTGAGCTACCCAGTACCTTACAGGTCTGACGAATTTTATAAGTAATTGTTACTTTTCCACTACTACAGTGCAAATTTATATCAATGTTCAGGCAATCCAGCCGAACAGTCTGACTGAGCAGTCGCCCAGATAGCGAAAAGCCGTGGGTTCGAATTCCACCACAGATTATCAGGTACAAAGTGGATTTTTAACAATTTTGTATTAAGAATGTATAAAAACTTCTTTAAAAAGGCGGGCAAAGCTCTCCTCATCAGTATGGATAGTGTGTTTTGTTTACTGACCGTCAGCAGGCACGTTGAGAGCTGAGTATGGGTACGCGTACGCGGTAGGGAATGTTGGCGGCTTCGCTCGTTCATCGGCGTCTGATCTCATCACCTCAACTATTCGGTTGGTGACGTAATCGAACGCTGTCAATACACCGCCCGCGCCGCTGTAACGGCGACTGCTATTGCTCCTGTAGTAAAAATAAATATCTTATAGAAATAAATCATACAAAGCACAGCTGTCTGTACGCTGAGATCAGTTAAATTACCACGCTGACTAATCCCAGGCAGAAAGTTGTATTGTTGTACCCACAAGCACATGGGTCAAACCGATGGCATGACTTTTGACTTTTACAGGTCATTTTTACCAGCCTAGACTGAATAAATTGGCTATTTGACAGCTCTAACAAATATTATTAATTTAAAAAACGATATTTTATTTGTAAACGAAATCTCTGTAGTATTTTATTTATAAAATAAATAGTAAGTGTTTGGAAAAATTAATTCGCGATTTACAATCAGTGGATTACAAATACAGAAATGCCGCCGGCAATAACGGAGAATAATGTGACGTCACATTTCAATAAATGCCAAGTTGACAATATTACAGTTGCACAAACGTCCATTTAAATTGTCATTAGTATGAAGCAACATTATCGACTCAAATTTTCAAATTTTAAGCTGTAATGAAAGTTCATCATAAGGCTCTAATGAAAATTCATCATTAGAGCTTAAAGGTCATTAAACCTTAAAGGATGTTTGTGCAACTTACTGTATGATTTCTCGTTTGGTTTAGTGTTATTAACCTGTTAGGATGGTGGTTATCCGGTGGCGACACTGGTTCCACAAGATAAGGCGCATGTTTGGGCGCGTCTCGTCGCTTCCATTCGTCCGCCCCCGCCCCCGCGCCTCCCGCGCCACCCACGCCCCCCACTCCAACACTGTACCCCTCCGACGTTGACACCGTGAAACGGTTACTAGAAAAATATGTATATACAGTACTTCCACACAAATAATGGGCATCAGAAACAATCGCCTAACAATACAAAGAAAATTAACAAGTTTGTCCCTAAAAATCATTCACAATTTCAACTTTATTGTAACTAAATAAATATGAACGACATTTTTTTTTATTGCCGCGAATCATTGCAAAAAAGAAATGTCCTAGAAAAGCATGTATAACTTACTTATGATGTACAAGCGCAGCAGTGGGACTGCAGAAGTCTCTGGTGATGATGTTGGACGCTAGATCTCCCAGTTTGATGCTGGTCGTATGCTGTGGGTCCTCCGGTCGGTCGGGTCGGTCCGGTCGCTCCGGTCGTTCAGGTCGCTCCGGTCGCTCGCACGTGGGTCGCTCTCGTTCGCCTTGTTGAGGATTAGGGGCACCATTGTCGCATTCCCTCATAGTCTGTAAACAAATTATAATCATTAAAATATGAAAAAAAAAGTAGGTTCTTTATATAAAGAAAAAAAGGGCTCAATGCCAAGACAAATGCAAAAAAAAATCCTGAAAGAAGTCTAGTCTGAAGAAAATTTTATTTTTAAATAAAGATATGGCGCATATACCTTACGAATATTGCTTTAGAATGTTATTTATAAAAATGTTTTTTTTAACAGAATTTCGTTTTCGTTAGGAGAATAATCATTCAAAAGTATCACAGAACACGGTAAAATCTAAATACACAAACGTCATGCTGTTTTCACGGATGGGAACTATATTTACGGATGGGGGATATCGATCATAACATCAATGCAAAAACATCAAAAGTTATAGAGCAAAATAAACAACAGATTATAATTTAAATGACGATATAACCTTTTGTTATTAATTCATTAATTCGGTTTAAAGTACTATTACAAAAGTCGATTATATTTAATAATGATAATGCTCGATGGCGCAGTGTTTAATACGCCCTGTTTACGATACGGTTCTCAAGCATGTTTTTGTAATGGCCGGTCATAGGATGAGCGACCAAAAATTTATTATCTCGAGCTCTTCTAAGCTAAGTTGGTGTTGGCTGCTTCTGCAGTCGTTTATACCCACTAACCCGCACTAGACCCGCGTGGTTGGTCATGGCCCATTGCCCTATTCAATTCCAGTCATAGAGAAGGTCTGAGCCCGAGCAGTCGGAACGTTAATGGATGGTGACGACGATATATTACCGGGTATCGTTGTTGTGTGTCAGTGGTCTGACTGATCTGGTGGGTAATGATGGCGTCTATCAGCGAGGCGGCGGTAAGAGTACCCTCGCCTGGGCGCCGTGGATCCGCGCCCGCGCCCGCTCCCGCTACCGCCACTGCGCCCGCCCCCGCCACCGCCTGTCCCGCGCCTGCTACGCTCACTGCCACCGGGGGACGACTGTGCACATAATAATATATATTAGACAACAATATCGGCCGATAGTCACGATCAAGTTATAAGAAGTTAATTTTGATAATAATGTATACGAATTATTATTAATTGAATTTTGAAAGTACTTAAATGAAAATCAATATTGGGACAAAAAATATATAAAAACATTATGTTTAACGATTTTAATTAGAAGTCCAATTAGGTCCTAGACCCAATTCAGAGGGGTGGGGTCATGACATCCGTGAACACCCCCCGGATCCGCCTTTGGAATCTGTAGACAATGATCGGTATAAACAAGAATGCGTACCCATCTTTCCGATCTATCAGATGCGTTTGAGATCTGTGTTGTTGTTGTTGCTGTTGTTGTTGTTGTTTATGTTGCGTGTAAGCCATCCGTCGCTCACTCTCTTGACTTGATACCACCTGTGGACAAATGTAAGATTGAGTAACACCACACCCATATTTCACTTTGTCCTTACTTCTATCCTAATATTATAAACGCATTGCATATATAGAATGTTTTAAAGTAAAATAATTTTTATCTGTTATTTGCATTATAAAAAATTTGCTCAACTCATATGTGACTGTTAAAGGGGCATCCTTACATACGTATGACGTCACGCGTACCTTGCAAATTCATATTTTTATGTTAGATTTTGGAATGATGACTCAAAATGTAGAACAATACTTCTTGTCAAACAATATATAAAAGACTTCTTGTCACACAATATCACACTCAATGTCACAGAATATAACAATTTTCGTCACAAAACGACTTACTTCGTTGACGCTACCTCCGCCTTAAAGTATGACGTTATTAATGGACACCAAATTGTTGACTCACCTGTGGATGTTGCAGATGATGACGGTCATGTAGTTGAGCGTGATGAGCATGCTCACCGGCTGCATGTCGCTCTAGTTGTGCCGCCATCGCTCGTTCACTATATTACAAACATAAATAAATTAATGAAAAATCCGGGCGACTGCTCTCGAGTCCCGTTTCAGAGTGCCTGAGGCTGGTGGGCTTTTAAGTTTTTTTCTTTATTAAGAATATTGTCTAGTACAGCAATGTTATTAAGACAGACGGATATATCCCTCTTCAATATGTAATAAAATATTTTGCTTTTTTTATTATTGTTATTCTATAAGTATTACCATTATTTTCCAATGCCTATTTTCTATCCATATTGTCACTGATGATTTTATATTCAGACCCTAAATATTTTTGGCTTACCAGTAATTAATAAAGTATTTGGATTTTTAAGTATTTTAAATATTTATTTCTCAGTAATATAGTGCATAATTTATTTTTTGTTCTTGCCATTATATATCGCTAAGTTGGAATATGAATAGTTTAAAAAAAATTGTAACTACAAGTAATAAAAACTCCATTCACTAACCGATCTCTACTTTGTTGTAACGCTATTTGTCTGTCTCTTTCCAAATATTGGGCTTGTTGTACTCTTCTATCTCGTTCCAATACCTGTAGAAAAATGAGATATACATGTAGTAAATCGAGAAAATCTATGAAATTTTCATCTATAGATTTTATTAGCAACGTATACGTACTTGATACTGTAAATGTTGTTGATGGTACTTCTGCGCTATCGCTATGTCGCGTTGAAGTCTGTCTTGTAATCTAGAAAAGAAAAATATTTATTTGCTTGATTTATTATTATAGCGAATGTTAAAATAATGTAGATTGATAATTCAGAGAAAAAAGACACGCCTTTAATTGTTTCAGGTCAAATTTCTTTTCTAACAGTTTTCAAGAAAATTCGTCACGTTTGAATGACAGAATATTTTATATGTCAGTGTCATAAGTCTAATTGAAACACCTGCGTGAGTTAATTAATGTATGTATACATGTAAGTCTGTATGTTTGTCCATGAATTTCTCGGCAAATGATACAACGGATCATTTTTTTATGTTAGATTAATTGGATTTCAACTTAGCGAATACCAAAACCTAAAAAATAAGAATATAATATTTTTCATTTCTACAAAGCTTTTTTTAAAGTCGTTTTATTTGCATGTTTTTTTACCTGATGTCATGCGTAGATGGCGCATGTGTGGAGTGTTGGGGGTGCTGTTGATGTGTGGTCTTGGGTTCTGGTTTCTGTTCAGCAACGCGTGGCACTGGCAGTGCTGGCGCCGCCGATGCCACGTCCACCAGGGACGTGAACGCTTCGTGACCTGAACAAAAATTTATAAGTATATTAACATGAACCAAGAGATTTTATAAACCGATTTTGTGGTTTAAAAATCTATTCCTATGAATTAATGCAAGTTCTTATTTGATATTTTCAAGTTCTCTTCCACTAACTTGTAACTATATGGTGTGTGAGCTTCTGGTCGATTAACATACTAATTGTTAGAATTATATTGCGATATTTGCTGTTGTATCTTTGATGGATTGTACGTTATATACGTCACAGGTCTTTAGTATCATATAGGTAATGTTTGTAATGTAACTTTTTAAGTAATTAGCTACCTTATGTTTAATAAGTAATGTTAGTATGGATCCATTTATAATAATTATTAATTGCACAATTTTATTAAAGACTATTTATACCTGAATAAATAAATAAAAATAATAAATCAATGTTTGAAGTCTATTTCCGTATGAAAGGGTAGTTTTGATAGAGAAATTTACATCGCAATAAACAGAGAGATTCTAATTTTGAGTTGTTAAATCGCACGATTATCTTAACATCTTAAATTAAAAGTCATTTGTGACGTTTTGTGACGTCACTGTGTTAATATCAGGATGACGTCATGAATATGACGAACAACGTTTTCGCAAGTATAAAAAAAGTTTACATTCTGATTTAAGTTTAAGGCAAGAAGTGTTTATTTTTTAAATTAAAAATAATCATTTACTATTTTTATTTTAAACAGATTAGAATACCCTATCGTATGTGAAATGATTTAGTTGAATTTGTATACCTGTAGGGGGCGGTGGCGGGGGCGGTTGGTGCGGATACCGCTGTATAACGGAGACGGGCTCGCGGCGGTAGGGAGGCGGCGGGGAGGGGGACGCAGGGCGCGGGTCCCGTTCGGGGCGCCGGGCCCCGCCGTGCATCTGCTGCGACGTGATGAAGTCCGCCATGATGATCTGACGCTGCTCCAGCCCGTACGGACTGCGGGAATAACCTGCCCCGCTGCCTTGCTGCTGCTGAACCGATTAAAAACAATTGTTACTTTAATGTTTACATCTAGCAGCTCGAAGGGCCAAATATCAACAATTCTTGTAGTATTCCCTTTATTCAGAAATACGGATAGAATTGAAATTTGATATATTAAGTCTGGCGGTCTGCGATTTAATCCACTCGGACGGAGCATTGCTCTGAATCCTAGCAATGTTATAAACCATAAGAATTAAATATGGATCCTAAATACTCACGGCAGAATAATTAGGCGAATGCGGTCTCGGCTGGGGCGGAGCGCCCGCGTAATAAGGTCCACTCGGACTCCGCCTTTTGTAGAAATCGAACGCTCTCTTATCGTGATGCACCGGAGTACCGGCCGTTATCGAACCGCCCTTCGGTTCTGGGGTTCTTCTCGGCTCGAACCTGCCTTCCACTGGGGTGCCTAACGTTATGGAACCCTTCGGGTTTGTGGCCGGTTTTAGTTGGGGCCTTGGTGGCGCCGTTTGCGGGGCAGGTTTCGGTTTCGCGTTATATTGGTTAGGTGATTCCCTCTCCGCTGTTCTGTATGAGCTCGGAGGGTAGTCATTATTTCGATACGGCTAAGGGAATAAATATTATATTTGATAAATTTTTGTATTCACAATGCAATATTAAATACTATAATAAATTTACTTTTTATAACTAATAATCTGATCGAAGCGAATAATATAAATAATATAAATGATAATCTGAAAGATAATCATCAAGCCTATTTTTAGAATAATATTGTTTAAAAAACAAAAACCGAAATTGACGCTTAGAGTATTTAAATAAGAAGAAACGTAAACTACTTCAGTTAATTACTTGTCAAAGATTTACTATTAAGTATATTAAATTTAATATTAATTTATGCCAGCATTTATATATTTATGATAACCTTGTTTCATGAGACATAATTATATGAAAATTTGTATAAATATGTGTTTTACAGGAAGGAAAGATGTATTTTTTGTATACAATACTGGACCGATATTAAAATTCATTCTATTTTGTTAAATTTGGTCTTAATTACTAGGATTTAAATAGTGTGAGAGAATGATATGTGAATGAAATATACACTTATAACTTACCGGTTTGTTAGGTGGAGGAAATGCCAATTCGTGCCGTGGCCGTTTCAAACTCAAATCGAGTAGAGGTTCAGGGCGTGGTTCTATATGTAACACGACCACGCCGTCCTGAAGCGGTTGCAGCGGCTGCAGCGGTGTGATCGTGGCTGGGCGTTGAGGGGACCTCGGGGAGCTGCGAGCGCTGTGCGTACTGTTCACCACGCTCAGTGTCGCTAATGATTCCCGATTACCGGATGATGATGATACCTGATAATTTGAAACAATTTTTAGCTTTTGCTTTTTAGGGTTCCGTAGTAAAGAAAGAGCCCTTATAGTTTCACCATGTCCGTCTGTCCATCCGTCCGTTCGTCCGCCCGCGACGAAATTTGTGAGGACAAATTAAGATATTTATTATTATTATTATCTATTATACTATTATTATAAAGGGAAAGATTTAACTGTTTATTTGCATTAAAGAGGCTCCCGAAATTAACGGGCCGATTTTAAAAATTCTTTAACATACGGGAAGCTACATATTACAATTTATAGTAAACAAAATTAGCATGTTAATTTTTTTACCTTTAATTGGTGCGGTTTAGGCTGCGGGGGTGTAGGTTGATTGTTTTTAGTTAAGCTGATCTCTATCATATTGAGGACCACGTCTCTGACGGTTAGCGGCGTGCTGGCGGGGCCGTTTCTCGACACTAACGCCGCCGTATTGCCGGGCATGCCGGACACGCCGGTTACGCCGGTAACCGTGGCCACGCCGGACGCCGGAGTGGATGAGACCACGGTGCTGATTGTGCCGGCAGTACTGCACACGAGGGTAGGCGTCGGCGCTGACGATACAACGCTCACTGGTGGTAGCGATGTGGGCGGTAGAATCTGTAATAGAACAGTTTATTAGTTTATTTTACGGATTGCTATACAGGTGTAACACATACGAATAAAATAGAGCCTCATGTGCCATGTTTATTTGTACGAGTAGTAATATTAAAGTCTTAAGAAATTTGTAACAAGTTATAAAAAAAGTAGTTAAATGAAAGGGCGTCCTTTTGGCCCCACATACCTTAGCGCTCGGTTCGCTCTCCTCGTCCGCAGTTTCTGTTGCGGAGGAGTCGTACTCGTCCCTCCTGGCGCGACGGGGCGCGGCGGCGTCAGTCCGGGGCCCGGGCGGGGGCGGCGCGGGGCCCTGCTCTCCCCCTTCTGACTCGCAACCACCGGAACTACCGCTCTCCTCTGATGACGTGCGCGCGGCCGCACAACGTTCTAAACTACCACCCGATATACAAGATTCGAGTTGGTATTTTTTCCTGTTGAAGAATGAACAGGAAATTTTAAAGGCGCGTTTGTTGCTATAAATTAGTAATAAATGTCAGTAGTCGTATGGCTGTCTATATAAATTAACTAATACCGACAACAGCACGTCAGGCTATACAAAGCTGTCAAGCATTGTTTATAGGAAACTTCATATACTGTGGTGTGGTGTGATGGTGCCGTGTATACAGTAATCTTACTGTACAACTGATATGGCACATTGATATGACGGCCACCTTATACGTTGTATTTTACATCTTTTAAGTATAGCAATAAAGCTCATTATAGATTTTGATCGTACGTGCCGTTATCGTCGAAATTGGTAGGTCTGCTCTGCGCAAACGAAAATTCACCACGCGTCATATTAATCGAAACTATTCGCTTATATATGCCTTAGTGTTTCCACATACTCGATACATAAGCAACTTAGACATTTTATCACAAACTCTTAGCCCCTTAATACTGACCTGTAGGTAAAGTAGAACGCCTTCAACGCAGCGGGTGATCGTCCACTGGTGGCTGCGGCTCGATCCCACGCTGTTCCGTGCTCCCTCAGAAGCGCCCTGAACCTGGACACCTCTTCCTCAGAGGGTTCAGTGGCCCCTTCACCGACCGTCTCTAAGCGACGTGTGATACGTTTCAGGCAAGCTAAGCAACACTTGCTTAACTCGCTCGGGATTTCTGTAACAAATATATATGGAGAATAATTTAATGATTTCCTTTCTCCATGTCTTGGTTGATACGAGATCTGTTTTTATGTGATCTATTTTTAATTTGTTGGTGTCGCGTCACTAGCCAAGTTTACGCGATAAACTTGATTTTAATAAAAATCGACACAGCCTCATGAGTTCTCACTTGTTACTGTAAATGTGGGTACGTAAGACGAGCCGAACACGACAGGAATATAAAATCTTATATGTGATACCTACTTAAGCCTAAAACTAGAGAGTGATTTGTGCGTGATCCACAGAGCTCTGACGGCTGTTGGTTATTTTGACAAAGATAATTTTTGAGGGTAGTGCTTTCGACGTAACTACACACCTGATGCCGCAAACGACTTGCTCGTCTAATGTAGAGTCATCTTAAGATCTAACTACTTCTAAGGAAGCACCGTAGAGAAACGAAACAGTGTTGCTATAGTTGTGCACGCATAAAGTCCATATTGTAGGTATTAAATGAGCAATATGTATGATATGTCATATATATTGCAGTTTTATAGTTAACACAGGGAAATTCAGTTTATATGCAGTTAATATATATTAATTATAAAGGGATAAAGATTCTTTGTTTAAGTGTTCATTTGTAGGGTCTTCGGAAATACTGATCTGATCAAGAAAATTCTTTCATTTACGGAAAACTACTACATACGCGATTGACAGGCTATAATTAACGTGGGCGAAGTCGCGGCAAACAGCTACTTATACTAATACAGTAATATACTCACGGAACTCGTCCATAAGAGGCCTCTTCAGTTCCAAGCTGAGATCGTGCCATCTTGGTGGCAAATGTCTGAGCCGTTTCGCACGCACCCGGGGCCCGGGACATGTAGGCACTGGACATCTCGTGTATCGCGATCTGACACAACGACAGTGACACTGTTCGCATACACGCGCGCCCGCTGACTCCTCCTATGAGTACAGATAATTTATTAAATGTGTCGTCAAGCCGTATCCTTTATGAAGCAGACCGAGTACCCATAAATAACAGTCTTTAAACTGGTCTTTCGATCTTGTTAGAATCAAGGGTTATTTTAACGTAATAAAAAACGGTCCACATAAGGGTTTGAAAACCTATCGATAATGTAACAGTTATTTTCAATAACTTATTATGTTTATCGTTATTGCAAATAACATTTGTTTGTTATCCTAAAATGATTTAGTAAAATGGCTACCTGGAGGCCGTAGTGAGCCGCCCGTGCACGCGTAACCGCTCGCGTAGCATTAGGCCCGCCACACACTGCACAACAGCTCGCCGCAATAGTGGTCACCGGCGGTGTAGGCGTCGTCGACACCGCTGGAGTACTGCTCACGCTCGAAGGTGTACTGACGCGTTCCGTCATCGCTGTCAAAAGATATTTAACGTTATAAGTATGTTCAGAAAACATATTAAAATAGAGCAAGGGAGAGGGATCGCGTATTAACACAACAATCTTCTCTGTCGGAGTCAGCAGGGGTGGTTCGCAGCCACTCCGGAATTAGACCTAGCCTGTCAGGCGAGGCTCTTAATGTACCAGAAATTCTTCGCCCGTGAGGGAATCAAAGGTCCAATAAGGGAGGCGAGTGTCCTGCTAACTTGACCACGGTTTCCCGGATCTCATCCCCTAAGACTTTTTGTAGATACCACCCTATAGCTTGTCAGGTGACAAATATAAACATTCGAATTTAAAAAGTGTTCAAAATGTCAAATATTGTGCGTTTTTTTGAGTTGTGACGATTTAGAAATAAAAGAAAATATATTCATTATTTTATATAATAGGGATGACGACTAATTTTTGGCGTTACATGGAGTTGAAATTTCGCATTACGTCACATTATGGTACGTTTTCTACTTAACTGTGACGTAGCGAGCCCCCACTCCTCAACTTTAATGCCTGTTATCTAAGCTATTACTTGTTAAATTTAAGTAAAAAAAAAAATACGTATCTAATATTTTTCTATTATCTGACTGACGAACTAAATAGAATTGCATTTTTTTTACCCAGTCGTCATCCCTATGCTCTAGAATTTGTGATGTTATTCTTACATGAAGCGGCCTAACAAATTTCTAGTTAACAAACGCAGATTGACACCTCCGCTTAGTAATCAGACGGGCAGGGTAGATGGTTAGGGCTGCCATACGAACTACATCACAATCGTACTGCACATCATGTTATCACAATACGTCTAATTTCCCCAGTTAATTTTAAAAACTACCTTCAAAACATTAAGGTTTAAAATCATGTGTAGAAATTTGACATGTGGTCAACTGTACACACAGCAATACGTCAGTTTATGGCAATTATAAAAAATACGTAGAATAGCAAAGATATACCTGGTGTACAAAATTACTAATAAGTAATTGGTTAAGAACACTTTTGCCAGAATTGGCTAGTCATTTTAGACATTATTTTTTGTTTCCATCCTACTCCTTTTTAATATTGTTATTATTATGCTATACACATCTTCTGTCCTAAACTAGGATTAGAAAGAGGCAGAGAATTTCATAAATTTTACCAATTTAAATACAGTTTTTAGTTTATGTAAAATTTATATTTAATATGATTTTTTAGAGTATTATATATTCCCGAAAAACGTCGGCAACCCTAGTGTAGGTGCCTGCAATATTAACGCGCCGCGCGCCACTCGTATCAGCCGGATTGCATATTCAGTTAACTATTGAGCAGATCGCATAACAATGATGTTGGGGTCTTGTTTGAATAGCATTTGGTTTCTAAGCTTTATCTGTGGTATTGAATAAAAATGAACTCAGTATTTAAAAAAAAGGTATTAATAAGATTCTGTTTCTATAATGTTTCTATAACACTATCTATTTATACTCGTATCTCCAGGCCGATCATTTCTACGGAAAGCAGGGACGACCGAGCGCCAAAAAGCGCGATCCTAAAGAGGTACCAAGACGATCGTGCGGCATAACATGCATTACGCGATGTTTTGCATGCATGATTGTCTAGAGACAGTTTTATTAACGTCTTTACTGAAGATTAATAACTAATTTTATATTTACCCTAAGAATAATACTTTATCTTAGTCCACGCAGTTTTTTTTTTACTGCTCCTGACATTTTACATAACTATTATAACCTGTTCAAACTGAACCAGACCAGACCTACAAAGTGGGGAGCGGTAGGAAGCTCAACCAATTATGTAAGGCCAGGCATTAAAAAAAAACTGAACCAGACCATTATTTAACATTCGAATGTTACCAGTGCAAAAACTATTAAAATATCGTAGAAAAATAAGTGTCGTTTATGCAGTTTAATTTTAAACTGCCAAACGGTATATAGTTTACACTTTTGTGAATTGGTTTAAAAATAAAACTATCGCGAACTCAAATCAATATAAGCTCAACGTTTCAGCCGATTCGAATTAACAACAAAGCGGATGACAAACGGCATTTGCATCCATTGAATTATTGAATTTTTAATAAAATAAATTAATGTGAAATTCCATTTCAAATATTCAGTATATTTATTTGTCTACTATTCAACGGTACAGGCTTACCTAATAAAGAAACGCTATGTTACTATTTCTCCTGTACATTCCATAAAACATCTTAATAATCATCGTTCTTTGTCAAAGGAACTTATTGATAGCATCTTTAGTCTATTTTCGTTGAAGCGTTAGATAAATAAACTTTTTTGTTTTTTTTTTTATTCAAGTCACTTATTTTCCATTTTATCATAGGTACAGAACACAGTAAAAATTTTATTTAATTCTAAACGGTGACGAAACGGCTGATGAAAGGTAGTATCGTATATATGTCCTTGTGAACTTTCTGGAACCAGCGAAACGACTGGTTATTGACAGCTGTATAATGTTCGATTCGTGACATATCCTTTGTTAACATATTAATATTGACTACTAGCGGACCCGACAGACTTCGTCCTGTCAAAAAGATTTGTAATGTGGCAGTTATTTGTTCCTACTTATTTTATAGTCGGAGCAAAAAATAGGAGGCATATCAAATATAAATTATTGTGTCACATGCAATATTATTATTATAATAAATAGTGATCATAGGTAACTAAACACTCTGCACAAAACACGATATACGAATTTGTTTCGTGTATTAGACAGTATCAGTTGACAAAAGCAAACTCAGTAGAATAAGTAACAGAAAATCCAAGAAAATAATACTTCCACACCGGCAAATTGACATCGACAGTTTATTTTTCTTAGTTTTTTTTTAAACTAACTAAACATCGACAGTTTGTTGTTGTTTCAATTTTCAACTTTTTTTAAATTTGATATGACTTGGAATCAAATCCTTCAGGCCGTACCAATTTTTTATGTGTGTAAAATAATAAATAATAAAACACTTTTGGTAACGCGGTTTGTGTTTGACTGATGTCATGACGTGAAAACTGATGCATTTTATGTCGCGTGCTGAAAGTAAAACAAAAGAAATAATATCGCAAAGCCGACCAAATTGAAAATCAGTACTAATGATTTACTTTAATTGAGTTTCTGAACGCGGCATTAAATCCTCCAACGATGTATTCTGTGCTCCAACGCACACACGCACACTGTATTGATATGATTGAATTTCAACTTTGTATAGCGGTAATAAAGTGCAAATTGACTCTTTGACGTTAGGAACACACCTACATTGCTTAGATAACAGTGAGTGCTTGTAATTTAATATGAACTTTATACAATAGTAATAGAGCTCAAATTGACTCAACGTTTTAGTTAGAAAACGTTTGTATGAGAAAAAAAAAATGGCTGTTTTTACGGTTTTTTCGGCATATATTCAAATTTTTCTCGCCGTAAAAACCATCCTTGAACTTCAACGAACATTTAAAAAAAAGAATTGGCCAAATTGGTCCAGGCGTTGTTGAGTTATGCGCTTACCAACACATTTTGCGATTCATTTTTATATTATAGAAGATTAGTTAGGACCAACAAAATTAGTTTCGACTTATCAACGAAGTCAGTAATAATTAACGCTCGTTCAAACAACGCTCCCCAGAGTTGTCATAACTCGAACGCAACTCGCACAATTAAGATTTGCACACCATTAGCGCTGTTAGCTGTTCCCAGTGCTCTCGACTGTTTAGTTTGCCAGTATTCTGGATATCACTGCATAATTCACGTTTCAGACTGGACTAACTGCACTGATTGTTCGATCTAATATTTAACGCGAAGTTTGATTACTGTGTTGCTAGGATTAGGGCTTCCATTTGCAAATGGTAATATTTTCCGATTATTCTTTAGAATGAATTTGGATTGGTAATAAAGCGTAATTTATCAGTTTAGATTAAAGAGGGATATGAATATGTACACGAGAGCACTATATCAGTAACTCACAACATTCAAATTTTTTGCAATCGATTTTAAGTTAACTTTCTTTAGCATACCAAAGTTTATAATAAATTGTAGAAAATTAAGAGGGTCAGATCCAAATCGTCTAAATAATTGAACAAATTACAAATCAATTACTTCCAAATAAGTTGTCATTAAAATTAAGAAAACTACATCATATTTAAAAAAATTATCTCTATCTGTCAAACCCAAGATGTTAATTATAAATTATAAAAAATCACAAAGTAACACTTAAAAATTTTAATTTTACAATTATTGTATTTCAAAGGGAATTCTTTTATAAAACAATAAGATTTCTTGTATATGGAATTTTCAAGCAATTTAACAATAGCATCAAGCTTCTCAAAATCCTGTCTAGTCCGTTGAATCATAAATTTTGAAGATACCCTATTGAAATGCTAAGTTGAGTTATTCTGCGGCTGGAGCTGTTTGTGAATCGGCGAGTGGCCGCTAATTAGCTCAGCACACCCACAGCTTATACAACTTTGATAAAACCACATTGCTATTAATACTAGAATGGTATCAAATCATTTTTTTTTATTCAAAACACACCGACTCTTTTCATAATAGATTTTTAATAAAGTTACATACTTTTATATCAAAGATAAACATCAATCTCTGTGAAAAAAGGAGAAGACCCTATTTATTTATTTCATATGTATCTTTCTCAAAACTCAATGACTTTTATTAAAAATTTGTAAATGGCTTATATCATAAAAGAATATAAAGGTGAAATCTAGACACATATGTGTAATTAAGAATTAAATTGACGCCACTAGCAAGTGACTTCAAATATTATACGTATAATATTGCTGATAAATCTTCAAATTACTGTAATTTAAATAAGAACTAATTAGCTCCGTCGCAAATCAGCAGTTTTCGTTACTCAATTTTATTGGCGCCCAACTTGGTACCAATTTTAATTATTCACAGGAGTGTAAGAAATATAACTATGTATTAAAAGTGATGTTTTTAGTAACAGTAGTCGTTAGTATTTAATTATTAACATGTGCAGTTT